CAGCCGGGGACAGGATGCTGGGGGGCTGCTGCAGCTGCAGCGAGACCGCCACCGTCATCGAATCGCCACCGTCATCGAATCGCCACCGTCATCGAATCGCCACCGTCATCGGATCGCCACCGTCATCGAATCGCCACCATCATCGGATCGCCACCATCATCGGATCACCACCATCATCGGATCGCCACCATCATCGAATCGCCACCATCATCGGATCGCCACCGTCATCGGATCGCCACCGCAGGAGCAGAAAACATTACCAGCACACTGATTGCAGTTTTCTGGTCGATCGCTGATTATTAATTTAAAAAGCTGACTTCGATTTTGGCCGGTACTAGTTTTTTTTTTTTTTTGTCGGAAATGTTGCTAAATATTAGGAATGCTCAGGATTGTTACTGCCGATTCCAATACCGATCATCCATGAGGCCGATCTCTGCTGATCGCCTGAAATGGGTGTTCAATTTTCACTTTAGGTATAAATTGGATGCTATGTTTTCTGGCAAAATGGTAAAATTACCTGGCAAGGTTAGGGCAATAAATTCACCTAATTTAGACATAATAGACATGTTTTACTACAAATGTAAAATGTTTTTGTTTAAGTTACGTGCTGCAGCTTTAAGCAGCTGTTCAGTGTGAGAGTTCACCCTCTGGTGAAGGTGGAGCGGCACTCCATCTGTGAAATATTACTACCAGTAGAGCCAGTCCGAGAGCGAGAGCAGCTCAAGAATTTTAATTATTTTTTGGGTCATTTGTTGAGCTTTCTGACCGTCATGCTAATCCGGGTGAGCGTTGGTAGTTTTGCGTGGCTTAGAGGTCAGTGGATGATTTTTAGATCTTTGCTGAGGTAGATGAGATCAGCTTCACATGTCAGTATCGGCCGATCACCGAACTCCCAAAATTAAGAGAACTGGTGCCAATAAATTGGTGCATTCGCAGAGAACGCATTTTAATTAGCAGTAAAAAGCAGAATAGCAGCTCTTTTCTTTACTGAACAGTAAATTCCTTTCACAGTCAGAAAGTGGAAGGAAAATATATAATGTTTTTTTGTTTAGAAATCTAAATCAAAAATTTTTTAAAAAATTAAAAGCTGATTAAATGTGCTTTTTAGCAGGTCTTTTGGGGTTTGTATCTACCAACTTTGCAGAATAACTCATATTCAGTCAGATTAGACAGAGAGCATCGGTTTCGTCACTGATTATTAAGGTTTGGGCTTTGACTAGGCCATTCAAGCATACGAATATCATCAGCTTTGATTGAAATCATTTCATTGCAGCTCTAGTTTTATATTTGGGGTTCTTTTGCTTCACGGGGAAAGCCTCTAAAATGTGTCAAACTGAAGGCTCAGGGGCCAAATTTGGCCCACCATAATGTTTCATGCGGACCTCTACAATCTGAAGCGACATAAACCTTCAAGTTTTTATCAATCATAGTAAAGCAATTTTTATTTGCATTCTGTCAAATTACATTAATGTGTAAAATACTTAAATGCTGTTCAGCTTTAAGGAGGACTAATTAAATTCTGTTAGATTAAATTTATCAATATCATCAATAAAATAAAATCTTTGCATTTCTTAAGCAAAAAAAATCTGCTCTGGTTAAATATTCGCCGGCAAACATCTGTAAAAAAAGAAACATCAAGTCAACATCTTCATCACTCATGTCTGTTATTGTATTTGGTCTCAGTGGGACGATTACAAAACTCACTTCCCCTGCCTTGAACTGGCCGACCGACAGATGGAGCATCCTTCCTCATGTTGTTTGACCTCAGCAATTTATTTCAGTTCGTCAGCTGTCAGGTCAGTCGACACCGGCAGCAGAAAAATATCCTGCTGCAGCACAGAGAAAAACATCAAACTACCTGTAAACAGTTGCTTTATGAATCTGTTAGTCTTGCACTCACTCTTTGAATTGATGCATTTCTTTCTATTTGTTTAGATTTGGTTTTACGCATCAATCTGACATGATAAAAAATAACATTTAAAAAAATTGCAATTATTAGCATTCGTTCGTTAGATTCCTGTTTTTGTTTATCAAGATCACATCAAAAACAATTTAGTAATTAATTAGAAACACCAAAGTGAATAAAATTCATCAAGATGCTGAAAGCAGCACCTAATTAACAGCAGACATGTTTGATGGGGGAGTACCGACCCATTACTGATCCGAGTCATTAATGATGGTTGATACCAAGTGGCTGTTTTTGGTAAAGCAACATGAAAACCTTCTATTTCCTGTAATGCACTGGGAGAAAAAGGGAATCTTTTCAATGCGCTTGGCGCCAGAAACACCTGGAAACCTGAGCTGAATGAGCTAATGAGTTTATTTTTATGTTTTCCAACTCTTCTGATTCGTGAAATTTTTAATTTACTGGTCAAAACAATAATAAAAAGTGAATCTGCTGATAAAGGGACAGACTTACCATTTCTAGGAATGTCTGATTTGCTTTTAAAGAAGCTAGGAGGTTCTGAAAAGTCACTAAATATAGGCAACATTGCTGAGAATGCTCCCGCTTCCAGCTGATGCTGTGTTCTGCTTCGTTTGTTTTGTGTAGTCTCTGTACCGCCACATAACGATAGATACTATTTTTTTTAATTACCAACTGGTTTTAGACTAAAAATTGTATCCAAGCCCTGATCGGGATGTAATGCCAGATTCCAATCAAGTCTGAAATCACGTGACTGGCCCAATTTCTGATCATGTGATCTTTTAGGGTTAGGATTAGGGTAGGGATTGGCACAGCCATAAAATAATGCCATGTCGTCCACATTAAATGGTTCAAATTAGTATTGTAATCGCCTCCTTCTTATTAACCAAGAACATTCCAGAAACTGGAGTATTATTTTTTTTCCTACAGTAACAAATATTTTGACAAATCAAGTTTCAGTAGGACTTGATTTTATTATTTTTTTAAAGATATAGCTGACCCACTCATAGCGTACTGCTAAAGTGGTACTGAAGCATTGCAAAGTTTTCTTCCTCTTTTGATATAACTCATTATATCAAATAACTAATTACTGGAATATACATTTCCAGTAACTTATAAAGGGACAAACCGTCTTGGAAATTTAGCATTTTGCTCTGAATTTCATTAAATGTAATAAGTTTAGTTTTAGCATAGGGGCTAAGCAGCCAGTACAGTCTCTGTCGTTGTAAATGATTAAAAACACAGGTTGTTGGGTTAACGCCAAAATCTGTCAGATCACACCATAAATTATGAAGGCAGTGAACACCAAAAGCAAGTTACATCTTTAATTAACTAGTGTGTAAAGTACAGACATCTTGTCCAGCTGACATAAAACAACACATAAGTAAAATGGAGACTTTACTGGAAGCCCAATCTGATAACTGGATCAGGACATTGTTATATTGTCAAGAGTTTTTCTCTTTAAATTAAAGCGAGAAGCTGACTCCACCTGTTTCCTTGTTTATCCCATCGCTCATGCTATCTGATTTAGGCGGTTGAATCCGTCTGTATCCTTTCTTATTTACAAGATCAGACTTGTGATCTTAGTCAGAAGCTGACATCTCTAGGCTCTCTGTTGCAACAGCCAGTTCCTGCTACTAAATACAACAATTGTTTGTTTTTATATTAAAATATGTGTTAAAAAGTGCTTCACAAAAACCTGCAACTAAAAGTTATGACAGTGTGACTAAATTTGCCTGGAGAAGCAAATAACAGGGCCGTAACTGAACATGTTCTCACAACACCGCAGTGGATCAGTGTGAGGTTCAGTGGGAGTTTGTTGTTTGGTTTAAGAGCAGCAGCCTGCGCCGAGGAATTTGCTTCTGGCATGACACCATGTTTCCTGTAAAAACAGCCAGGCACTCAGGATATCTGGAGATCTTTTCTGCACGGCAGAGGAACAGTCTCATAATACGAGGAGCTTTTTGTTCAGTAATTAGTCCCAATCTGCAGAAAGCATCACTTAGACAACAAGAAGAGAAACGGAAAAGCTCAGATGCTGAAATGTTGTAAAATCACTGATTTTATACGCAAGATTACAAAACATAATCTTCGTTCTTGCACTTTAAAGAGTCACTGTGCAAACAGTAATAGGTGAACACTGCCATCTACTGGCTGTTGAGGTGCAAAACCCGCAAAAGAACAAATGCAGATGGAAAACTGGCAATTAATATAGACTTCAGGAAAAGATATAGATAGAAAAAATATCAGTTTCTCTGATTTTACTCTTTATAGGTCTATATGTGAGTAAAATGAACATTGTTGTTTATTCTATGAACTACTGACAACATGTCTCTGAAATTCCGAGCAAAAATTTTGTATTTATCTGCAGAAAATGAGAAATTATCAAAATAACAAAAAAGATGCTTTCAGACCTCAAATAATGCAAAGAAAACAAGTTCAGATCCATCTAGAAACAACAACACTAATGTTTTAATGCAGGAAGAGTTCAGGAATCAATATTTGGTGGAATGACCTGCAGGTTTTCAATGGGCTTCAGTGCAGAGAGCTCCTTATATTTTTTCCTGCAGCTCTATATTTTATTTCCTTTGTTTAACCCCCACTGAGATCCAGATCTCATTTTTAGAGGGACCTGTGCAGAAATCTGCAACCTGGTGTAAACAAATATTCACACCAGTAAATATTTGGCTAATCTCATGTTCAGAAATTCACATTTTCATAATTTTTCACCCTTTTCTAGTTTTGGTTCAGGAAATTGAACTATATTTATCAACTATATGCAAAAGTACAAATTTCTAAAAAGTAACAACATAATAATGTTGTAAATCATTTATATATATATATAAAAACAATTGTCTTTATATCTGTAATTTATGCTTTGTTTTGTTTTTACACCAATATATTTACAGTAGAAACCTATAAATCATTGCCATGTTTATTTTATATTCAGTGTTTTGTTAGTTTTTTATTTGTTTTCCAAATTAAGAAATGAACTGAGCTGTACAGAACCGTTTAAAGAAAAACATGTTTCATAAAATTATCACCTTTAAGGCGCCAAAATGACAGAAAGAGACAGTTGTTCATAATAGTTTAGGTTTATTCATTATAATATAAAAAACATAAAAACGTTCTCATGGCCTTCAAATCCACATTTTTTCCCTCCACCAAATGAAATCCTTACACAAAACATTTTATACAAAAATCCTTCATTTTCCATCAAGTTAAATTAATGTGGAGGTTTGCAGGGATGAACAAATGAAAATGACTGTTTCATGCTGATGAGCTTAATAAAAAATGCATTCATTTACCCTGAAAAAACATTTAATTTTATTATTTAATTTTACATGAAATGGATAAATCAAAGCAACATTTTTCAGTCAGTGAAGCTTTATTTTAAGGTTTATCCGTTAGTTTATTTTTTTGGTCCAATGTTCCTGGATGTGTCCAAACAAAGTTGAATCAAATTTATAAAGGTTTATTTAGATTCATTTCACACAAAATGATATTATTTCTGTTCGTTTACACCATTCAAGGGAAACCTGAAATTCAGTTGATCAGAATATTTCAATATTTCATTAAAACAAATAAGAAAAGGATTTTTATTGCACAACATTGTTGCAACATCCAAAACAAAAACTCTCCACATGGTGGGCGACCATGTGGAGAGTTTTTAGTGGAAGGTTAAGTGGAAGGAAAAAGTGCTTCTCAAGCAAAACTAATTCAAAGGTTTGTGGAACCACCAAATACTTTTCTGAGCTGTGGGAAACTAATTTATAAATTTTACTGATTTAAAATAATTGAAATAATTCATTGTTATGCATCTATATAATCTAGGCCAGATCGATCATCTTATTTAAAATTAAAAAAAGAGCTTAAAAGCACTTCCAATGGATTCATCGTTATATAAATAACAGTGTGGGTTCATGAGTGAAGACAGAGCAACTTCAGGGACTCCAATTTCAGACTGAATAAATGCTGACGAGGCACAAGGGGAGCCACATCCTGAACAATCGAGAGGAAACAACAGTAGGACTCTTAAAACAAGAGCATGTGGGTGAAAAACTTTCCCATATGAAATGCTGACCAAGCACCAACGTGCCTTAATCCCATAGTGAACATATTTACATGACATGAAAACATAAAAGATATAAAACAGAAAGTCACACAAACAGCTGACAGGAAGATTCAGAGGATGATGGACGACGGACACTGTAAAACGTTTGAAGCTGGATTAACTTGAAACTCCACCTGCTGCCTGGAAAATGCAATTTAAATCAACAAGAAAATTGTTTTGGTTTCAACTCAGAAGTTAAAGTTCATAAAGTGGATTTAACAACAAGAGACCAGTCGTCTAAACATTGTTTTTTAACTTCATTCATCTTGAATTGTGAGTTTTAACTAAAAATCTGCCGTCATCGAGTTAAAGAGCCACATTTCTCTGTTATTTTACTCACAATATCAATTTAAAATAAATACTTATTTTACTTTAGAATAATTTTAAATTCTTGTTTCAAACTGCAGGAACAAAATTTCTGATCTGATAATGAATTTTTTTAAACATCCCAATGAATTCAGCTCAGAAACATTTAGTGTGAACAGGACATTAAATAAACATTTGCCTTTAAAATGAACATTTGCCTTAAAACACAAGAGTCAGATCAATGTAACGCACAAACATGCTGCTAAGCATTCTGGGAAATAGTTCCCACTCCTATCTTTTTCTACTTTCAGTTTTTTTTAAGTGCTAAACTAAAAACTCACATTTAGGTTCAAAATATAAAACTGGATAAATTTATTTGACTTAAACATTTGAGCCACATTTAGTTGTTTTACTATCTTCTGCTCTTTACAGAGCCGGGAGTTGGATGACGTGGAGGCGTGGTCAGCAGAGGTCAGCAGAGGTCAGCTGGGGTCAGCAGGGGTCAGCCAATGTCAGGGTTACCGGGTCAGAGCTGATTTCCAACAAGACCTGAAACCTCCACCACCTCAGCGCCGAGCAGAACGCTGACTCAGCACCAGAAACACCAGGCGCAGACCACAGGGTGACGGTAATCCGTAGGACGGGCCCACAAACACACACTCTGGTTTCCCTGCCATCTGCCTGCCTGGAAATCTACTGATCTGGCTCTCAGATCGCTAAATCTCACTAAAGTGCTCGCTCTAACGCCGCGCTTGCCGAGGTCAGCTGAAAAACAACTAAAATCTAAATGGACTTTTGCACCAAAGCAACTAAAGCCCGGCGGCCCGCCAGGCTTATCATACACCGGGGGAAACCCTGGATTTTTCTTAACCTTAAAAAAAAAAATCCCATCAAATGAGTCCATCGTGTGTGTCGAGGAAGAGCTGAGTGTGAATTACTGACATGTTGGCTGAGTGTGTGAGAAATCTGCACAGCTGTCGAGACACGAGAACCTGGAATAGTGAAGACAGCTGTCTTAATTTCTTTATATGTGTGTGTGTGTGTGTGTGTGTGTGTGCTGCGTGTGTGTGTGTGTGTGGGGAGGGGAGTCGGTCCATCTGTGTCGAACTGGCTGGCTTCGTGCTCGGCTCAGTACTTCGGTACTTTGGTGTAATCCTCCTGGACGACGCTCTTGCACAGACACATGGAGAGGATCATCCCCAGGAGCTGCGGCAAACGGAGTCATCAGAGATTAAACTCACCAACAAATGATAAAAAGTCTCTGAAAACTGGGAATATTTCCTCAGAAGTCAAGAAACTTCAAACACAAATGATTCACACGTTTTCTGTAAATAATATCCACTGAGGATGATCTGACATGTGGTCCAACAAGGTGATGCTCAATGGGGAGCGTCTGTTTTGCCACAGAATATTAAACGGACTTTGACTAGACCATTCTAACACATCAATCTGTTTCAATCTGAACAGTTTCACTGCAGGTCAAAGCTCTATGTTTGGGGTCAATAACCTCGTCCTACACACTGTAAAAAATATATTTATTGTGTTTATTTAAAATGTAAAATATGAATAAAGTATTTTACCAAATTTATTTACTGTGAAATCCAGAAAAATACAGATTTTACTGCATATTTCTACAGAGTTTGTTGTAAAAAAAACAACCCGTATTTATAAAAGCTATAAATTATGCTGTATTTATAACATTTAATTAAATTTTCACTTCCAATAAAATTCTGGCAATTCTACCGTATAAATAATTATTAATATATTTGGAAAAATTCTATGATTGCCAGAATTTTACCATATAAATGCGGTAAAACCTGCATAAATACAAATTTCATCGTATTTATATAAATTTTACCGTACAAATACAGATTTTACTGTAGAAATACAAATCTGTAACAAATTCAAATCCGTCTTTATGCTGTAAAATTCTGGCGTTTATTTTACAGTGCACTCAGCTCCTGCTAAAGAAAAGTGTCCCCACAGCATGATTCTGCCGCCACCGTGTTTTACCACGGAGATATAAGCAGGGTGGCATAAAACCCAAACAGAAAACAACGCTTACATGTACAGTGGCGTTTGTTTCAATGTGGGTCAGCCTCACTGGGTCAGAACATTTTCACATCGTTACAGAACATGATAGAAAGTCAGAAATGAACATCCTACCTCCACAACAGCCACCCCGATACAGATTCCCAGGATAATCCCACAGTTATCCAGCAGCCATTTTTCCACGCTGGTTATGCAGCCCTGAGAGAGAAAAGCGGAAGAGTGAGAGGAGGAGGGAGCGAGACTTTTCACGGCAGAACTGTTGGCTTTGGGTCGGCTCTGATTATGTTCTGCTGGAAAGCTGGAGTCACGCAACAAACCGAGAGATGTGACGAGTTCAGGAACGCACCATCTCAAAGACAGGCGGCTGTGCTGACAGGTGCTCACACAGGCCAAACTCTTTGACTTCGGTTCCCGGGATGGTGTCGTTGCGACAGGAGCAGGAGTACAGGTTCTGCGTGCTGTTCTTGATCAGAATGTTCTCAGACCAGTTGCCTGGACCAGTCCACCCACAGCATTTCATCTGGACAGAGAAATGAGGAGATGGAACCAAAAAAGAAGCTTTATGAGAGAAGAGAAAGATGAGAAACTTTTCAAACAGTTAAAGTTACTAAACTCCTCAGTGATATAGATCCTGTAAAACATTCACAGGTGGTTTAAGTTGAAAATGAAAGTCCATCAGTCTGGTTGATTTAAATGCAAATTAAATCAACAAGAAAATTGTTTTGGTTTTAACTCAGAAATTAAAGTTTATGAAGTCGATTTAACAATAAGAGACAAGTTGTTTAAACGTTGTTTTTAAACTTCATTCATCTTGAATTGAGTTTTAACTTAATGCTGCAATTTAAATCAAATAATTATTTCACATTATGCAATGAAACAAACTGCTCTCAGCTAGTTAAAGAGCCACATTTCTCTGTTATTTTACTCACAATATCAAGTTAAAATAAATACTTATTTTACTTTAAAATAATTTAAACTCTTGTTTCAAATTGGATAAAATCTGATAATGTATTTTATTTGACATCCCAATGAATTCAGCTCAGAAACATTTAGTGTGAACAGGACATTATCCTCAAGCTTTGCTGACTGAGAATTGCATTAAAATGAACATTTGCCTTAATAACAGACCAAAGTCAGATCAATGTAATACACATCCATCTCAGGATTCAAAAACATGCCGCTAAGCATTCTGGGAAATAGTTCCACTCCTGTGTTTTTCTTCTTTCAGTGTTTTTAGTGCTAATCGATAAACTCAAGTTTATTCAATTCTTTTAGGTTTGACTGAATTAATAAAAGTTAACACAACTTCCTGCTGTAAGTTTATCTTTCACAAACTCACATTTAGGTTCAACATCTAAAACTGGATACATTTATTTGACTTAAAGAGAAAAAGACAGTAAACACAACTAAATGCAGCTCAAATGTTTTACAGTGTGGGAGACAAATTCAATCTGAGATACCTGAAAGTAGAAAACATAAGTTTTGTTTTCTCTGAGATTAAAACAGGTTTTTGAGCCTGTTGCAGCCGAGCCATAGAAACTATATTATCAGTATAAACATTAAAATTTACTGAATCTTTTTTTATTTTTGTTTTTTCGTTCCTTTTCCATCAAACGAAGTGTGTGTTATGTATTTTGATCCGGTTGCACTCATTGACTCACCGTCCTCTGAACGAAGTCCCAGGCGTGTTCTGTGGTTTTGTTCTGACCCGTGTAGTTCACTATCAATCCTCTGATGATGACGGACATCTCATGTTTCAGCTGGAGGAAAAGAGTCACAGGAAACAGTCAGCATGAGATGAGATAAAACCACGAGGGATCATGTTTACCAACACTGAAATACTGAACAAAGTCAATTATTTTATCATTTTTAATGCTGCCAAATCAGAAAATAAGCCTAGATTTGCAGCCAATTTACCACATTTCATTGAAACTTATTCAAATAATTCATTTGTAAAGTGATTTTTAAGTCCTAACCAAGTTTTAATGTACATTTTTACAGATGTGGTTGAAGTACCCAAATACTGCAATTGGTGCGCAAGAACATTTAACTGAGTAAATGCATCTAGTTATTACAAACTCTGCACTTTACAAATTAAAGTGTAAATTATTCAAAAATAGGCCCTGCATGTCAGCACATCTCTTCCCACAGCGTCTCATGTTTCTCAGCAGAACGCTGCAGTTCACACACGTGACGCTGCATGTTGAAGCTTTGCAGAAACGCAGCTTCTGATGCCGGGACCGGCTCCGTGTTTATGTGTGTGAGGCCGCAGAGAGCAGCGGCGGCGGCGATGCAGCTTCATGACAGGCGAGAGCCGCGCCCTTTTCTGGGAAGGAGCAGCGCCCTGCCCTGCGGCGAGCCTTAAACACAGGGAGTGTGTAGGAGGCTGAGGACCCACATGTGACCAACACACACACACACACACACACACACACACACACACAACACACACACACACACAAACACACACACGCACACACACACACAGCTGGAAGCACATCCACCTATCCCGCTGTTCAGAGAATGAAACTTTCTTTTGGTTTTTGGTTTTGGACGGTTTTGGTTTTCTTTTGTTATTGTTTGTTTTTTGTATTTCCTTCTGATTCATGTAAATCACTGACAATGTGCAACATTAATACATTTACATTATCTTAAATAAACTGCCTCAGTTTTAAAGGTACATGGTGTGATGATAAAATAATAATAATTATCATTAGAATTATAAATGAGATGTTTATAATAAAGAGACTGAACTGGTTTATCTAACTTCTGCACTTGGGCTACGCCACAACATCTGGATACACAAAAATTATTATTATTACAGTTTTGTACAAAGAATATTTATTAGAATAATTTTCCCTTCATTTTTGCTTTTTTTACTGCTTTAAGAAGTTTTTAAAAGATTTACTCTTAAGTTTGAGTAAATATCATTTGTAGTTTTTGTTGTTTTCCCCAATAGACTTTAAAAGTAAATGTATTTATCACAATATTCAATAATACTAACTCATTCAATAAATTAGAATAACATACTTTTAAAAGTCTGTTTGTTTAAAAGCTCCATTGCATTATGTAGGTTAATAAGAAAAACATCTTTATTTCTCTTTATCATGATTTTCTTCTGACACCTATAATAAGCACAATGTTTAAATGAGGGCTTAATTAAAAGTGCTTTTAATTGAAAGTGCTTTTAATTAAAAGTGTTTTTAATTAAAAGTGCTTTTAATTAAAAGTGCTTTTAATTAAAAGTGCTTTTAATTGAAAGTGCTTTTAATTAAAAGTGCTTTTAATTAAAAGTGCTTTTAGTCTGCCAAACATTTCCAGACATATTTCCTTATTTATTGAAAAGACTTTAGTTAATCCTATGGCTCTTCACAAGAGAAACGGGTCCAATTCAGAAAAAAAAAAAATAGGATCTATCAACTTATTTAACTTTTCGTCCTAATTGATAAAGTAATTTTAAAGTAAATGCACTGAAATGTCTGATCACTTTGAGTGCTGTTGATCTAAATAGTGCTACAGTTGATTTTTCATTCATAGTTCAGTAAAGTAATCATTTCTAGGGGCGACATTCATCGTTCTTCACATAACGAACCTAAAGACGTCCTGCAGGGGGAACCGAGAGGACGATGGAAACGTTCTACACAAACAATCCCTTCTTCTCTACTTCCTGCGTTTTCTTCTTCTCCCCGGATCTGAAGCCATTTCGGTTACAAACTGACTTCCTGTGGGTTTCCGTTTGATCGCCTGCGCCGTGTTTCATCACAGGATGCAGCAGGTTCCCCTGCGGGTTGTGACGACACGCCTACGCTGACTGCAAAAACGCAACAATGCCGAGTGTTTTTCACCTGCTTTCTGATGCAAATGTCTCAGTCCACTTGAAATGACACAAAACTAACTTACAGGCAAGAAATGTGGGCTAGTTTTAGGAAAATAATGTCTTAATATAACGTTTTGTTGCAAGTGAAATAATCTGACGGTGCAACTGCAACTAGCAACATTGTCAGTTGAACTCGTATTTTTTTTTCCATTAATATTTAGTTATTATTGACTCAAAACAAGCTGCTTTATCTGCTGAAAATGTAGTTTTAAATGACTTTAGTCTAATTTCACGCAAACTGAGATATTTGCACGAGAAAGTAGAACAAAAACACGCGATGAGATTTCGTGTTTTTGCAGTGCTCAGCCGGTTCCAGATGTGCCCACAGAAGGAAATGCAGTGCCTGGTTTCAGGGTGGCTGCAATTCACTGAAATGTTATTTAATTTTATTTTTTAAATCGAAGGGTTAAGGAGGAAGAGAGGAAAGTGAAGCGTGTCTCACCGGATCTCTCTGGATGTAAATGAGAACAGCAGCGGTGACCTGAGCGATGAGGACGAGCAGCAGGCAGGTGAAGTACTGTGGAAATAAACATAAACAATATTAACAGAAAAATACTGAAGGCCTTTCAACAACAATGATAATAACACAATAACTTTCATGACTCAATCCAGTCACATTTTAATAAACAAAGAAGCAGCAGGGAGTCAGAAGCTTTTTCTTCCTCTTTTAGCTGTTGTTAGATTCATTATGTTGGATTTACAGAATAAATTGAGATTTCAGATCCTTTTGCAGTTACGAATGCTTTCACTGTAAAACATTTGAGCCACATTTAGTTGTGTTTACTATCTTCTACTCTTTAAGTCAAATAAATGTATCCAGTTTTAGATTTTGACCCTAAATGCAGTTTGTGAAAGATAAACTGACAGCAGTAAGTTGTGTTAACATTTATTAATTCAGTCAAACCTCCAAGAGTTGAATAAACTGGAGTTTTGAGGTTAGCACTTAAAAAACTGACAGAAGAGAAAGACAGGAGTGGGAACTATTTCCCAGAATGCTTAGCGGCACGTTTTTGTCTCCTGAGATAGAAGTGCGTCACATTGATCTGACTCTTGTGTTTTATTAAGGCAAATGTTCATTTTATTGCAATTCTCAGTTAGCAAAGCTTGAGGATAATGTCCTGTTCACACTAAATGTTTCTGAGCTGAATTCATTGTTTAATAAAATTCATTATCAGATCAGAAATTTTGTTCCTGCAGTTTGATTTAAATTATTATAAAGTAAAATAAGTATTTATTTTAACTTAATATTGTGAGTAAAATAACAGAGAAATGTGGCTCTTTAACTCGGCGAGGGCAGTTTGTTTCATTGTATATTGTGAAATAATTATTTGGTTTAAATTGCAGCATTAAGTCAAGAGGTTATGTCTTACATTCATTTGGAGAAGATCAGATATACAGTTAGAGGATCTGTAAACAAATCCTCTGATATCTGGCAGCCATTTATAACTAACGTAGAAAATATTTCAGCAGATAAATTTGTGTCAAGGTCAAATGTTGGCTGTTTTATTTATGCACAAAGCTGAGCTTTGCATCGATGTCTGAAAACCAGATGGACACATGTTGGGGTCGTAGATCCGATATAGGAGAGGAGGGATTTCTCTTGTGTTCGCCTTCATCAGCGTTTTTTGTGGTTTATGTAAAAAATAATTTAAAAAACTGATCAAAAAATTTTTTTTCATTAAATTAAGAGGTGAAAAATCAAAGTTTAGACAACTTGACTCTTGTTGTTAAATCAACTTCATGAACTTTAATTTCTGAGTTGAAACCAAAACAATTTTCTTGTTGACTTAAATTACATTTTCAAGTTGAACCACATGTAAATGTTTTACAGTGTGTGCGATAAGGGGGGTTTGTTCGCCGCCAGCTGGTCTCTGTCACTCAGAGAAGTAGGTCACGTCGGTTCTTTAGTTAACCCCCAGCAGGTTTAGCGCTGCCGAGGTCACCCCACCCACCCACCCATCCACCCACCCATCCCCACTCGGGAGGAAGCTGCCCCCCACATCCCCGGTTTTATCTGCAGCACCTCTCAGCCTCACACATTAGCAGGGGCTTCAGAGGCTTTGCTGCCAGCAGGAATCCATCACATGCTATTAACCAGGCAGCTGGAAATTAAAACTGCCAAAGCGCAATATTGATATATGAGGACAGCAATCTGTAGATCGCCGGTTCGATTCCCGGTCTGCAGACCCGCATCGATTATCTTCCCCTGGTGTTGGTCAGAAGAGCTGATGGCGCAAAGTTTGCAACCTCTGCCAATAAATATGTTTTTTTAATGAAAGAAACTGATTTGGTAAAAATTTATTTTACCTTATTTTGTTGTGATTTATGAGTTATTGTCATTTTCGCGCTTAAAATACAGAAATTTCCACTTAATTTTATCTCATTGACTCTCTGACAACGATACTTTTTACTTTTAAATGAGTGATTTTATTTTGAAGCATCGCAAAATGTATGAATTTTCTACCCACTGAATGAAAAACAAACAAGTTTAAACAAAATTTCAAAAGGACACAGACACACACTTACAGTTTTTATTAAAGTTTTATAAAACTTTTATTGAAAGAAACTCATTTGGAAACATTTTTTTAATTATTTTTTATTCACTAATATAAATTATTGTCATTTTTATTCTTAAAATACCCAAATTTCCACTTAACTTTAAATTTTGATTACGTAATTTTAAAATTTTAATGATTGATAATTTGATCAGTTACTTGAGTAAACTTTTTACCAAATACTTTTTTACTTTTACTTGTGTAAAAATATGTTAAAGTCGTAGTGACACTCTTACTTGAATATAACTTTCAGGTCCTCTGCCCACCTTTGCAAGTGAGAGTAGCAATAATTCACAATGATAATCTCCAGTAAGAGTGAAAATACGCCTAAAAGTACATTTATTTCAAATGTTACTTGAGTAACTTTTGGTGCCAGTCAGTGCTGATCCGGTCAGCGGTGATAAAACAGAGTCTGTGTGCGTTTCTCCTCACCAGGCCCAGCAGGCAGCGGATCTCATAGATGGCTCCGAGGCAGCCGAAGAAACCCATCACCATCGTCAGAGATCCAACTCCGATGAGGATATACGAAGCCACCTTCACCGTGTCGGAAGATTCTTCTGCAGAAGACGGAGAAAACGCAGACAACATTAAATATACAGAAAAATGCAGCTTTAACTCAGAGAACCCTTAATTTAGCATTGCAGATGATTTTATTTTGCCACCAGGGGGAGTGGGACTGGGACAAGCGGGCCTGATTAATTGATTTCAGTTGTTGGTATGTGGAGAGGCAGAGATGCAGGAGGAGCAGGAGTCTAAAAAGGGAGACGCAGAGCTGAAGAGGAGATGAACAGGAGCCATTATGTGGCTCTGTGCTGTCTGTGCTGGAGGAGATCCAGAGGCGGAAAGCTCCGACTGCAGATGGAGCCAGAATCTGAGCTTCGAGAAAAGAGTCCAAGTTAGGAAGAAGCCTGGCCGAAGCGAACAAGGAGGACTCGTCAATCTGAAATGCAAAAACGGTCACAGAATCTCCTCTACTGGTGCCAGAATTCAGAAATGCACCTTTTAAACAAACTCTGGGTTTCTTTGCGGGTCTGACCTGCTGATTCAAATTGTCATTCTAAAAAATAAAGTCCATAATCACAGCATTCTGGGAAATGTAGGCAGAAGAAAGGCTTCAGCTCAGTGATGCCAAACAAATCTGGAAACTGACTAGTGAGGGCAGACGAAGAGAGAAATGGTGGATTCTGATCCTTGGCACTGATTGGTGCATTAGTAGTTTTAATATTTATTAAATTTAAAGCAACAAGAACTTGGAATAAGAACTTTGTGTGCATCTTTTACTTCTGAATGTGAATGAAGAACAAAAGCAGTTTTATCAAGTTGAAATACACTGCAAAAACACAAAGTCTTACCAAGTATTTTTGGTCTAGTTTCTAATGCAAATATCTTAGGACACTTAAAATAAGACAAAGCGAACTAACAAGTAACTTTTCAGGAAGATATAGGAGCTTGTTTGAAGTGAATAATTCTTCATATTGATGAAAAACACGAGCTCCACTGGTAGATTATAAAAGAATCTGCAAAATGACAAGCACTTTTTCAAAATTATTGTGTTCAAACAAGCTCATATTTTTTGCTGAAATTTTACTGATAAGCTAGTTTTGTCTTACTTCAAGTCAACTAACATATTTACACTAGAAACTACACCGAATTTACTTGGTAAGATTTTGTGATTTTGCAGTGTAGAAAAATAAAAATAATCTTCTCAGTCTTTTTATGTTAGCTTGCCTTCTTGTTATCACAGGATGCAGACTGCATCCTCATCCGAAAGGCAAATAAGCCACCTGATTTGCTGCAGGATATCATCCTGTCATGTTCCAGCTTCTATATACATCAAAACAGGAAAATCCCTGCACAGATGCAAACTTCTCCAAATGTTGTAAATGTAAAACTGCGAAGAAAAAGCTATAAAAAATGTCATATGATGTTGCACCAGAGAAGTGCTGACTTTACACGGGCTGCCGCAGCGGCTCATGTTTGGCGGTTCGGGATGTAATTTAAGGCCGAACAGTCGGGTGAACATATGTGAGGCGTTTATGTGGCTGCAGGGTTGCATTCAAAGGAAGGGAGAGGTAGTATCTGAAGCTTGTATATGAAGCACACACAGCTGAAACATGTCATTTAGAATCTCCAACACACACACACCGCTTCCCAAACACAACCAGTCTGCAACAGCAACATGTGTACTTAGGTTTCTTTAGCAATATAATTACATGAAAGAGTTAGGGTGTGAAGGAAAAAAGATCAAGAGTTTAGAAGAGGCAGTAAAGTGAGATTAACAAAAAGAGTAAAGCTACTTTCACACTGCAGCCTGGATTTTTTATTTTGATTTATTTATTTGTTTTGCCTTAATGCAACATCACTTTATCAAATGCGACCTGGACAAACTACCTGGATATCCGATACGCATCTGATCTTTTCACGAACGTCATCGATACTCGACAAATGTCACCGTTCAGCGTCCTGATTCGAGCGAGCGGGAAGAAAAACAACAGCCATGGTGGACAATAATGAGAATTTTTTAAATTTTTATTTGATTTTATTACCATCATATATAACAAACATGGTATCGGCATCAAGAAGCCGATCCAGGCTGCTTCGATATACTGAGAGTTAAATTGTTGGTCCCAATTGGATCACAACTTCTAAATCGTAAACTATCTTCTTTTCTCGTACGGCAGATCGCAACAAACATTCAGGTGCATTTACCGCCACCCGCCAGACTGGAGCGCGAGCGACAACATTGTCCTCTACTTCCCAGTGATGACTTCTACTTTTTTACCTCGGTTGGCAAAACACTGAGCACGCTCTCAATGTGCCCTCTACTGCGCATGCGGGAACTTTCAGGCGATCAAGTCGCATGTGTGCAAGAAGAAAAATAATTTCACAACGCATCGAAGTTGCATCACTTCAGGCGGCAGTGCAAACGAAGCCTATGTGACATATATTAGTATATGTCGATTCCTGTAAACAAGCCCTGATGCAACAGTTTATAAGGTGTAACAAGACGTCTGACTGCTGGATTAATCCTTAATCTCAGACCTAATCAGCGAGTCTTTTATCTTTTTACTTGTGTAATCTAAACAGGCCTTGCATCATCTCAGTCAGTGTTCTGGTGAGTGACAGCTGCAGAGCACCAGATACTTCCTCTTGCTTTGGTGCTTTTCTCTGTGGTAAAACCAAAACAACTAATGCACGAAACACAGAGCATCTGCACAAATATTCACACCACTGCAGCTTCGTAACCTGGAGACGCATTTCCAGCGTGACGTTGATAATAAACCAAATGTATTTTCCTCCCACCGTGAGGTAAATACAGTGGAGGTTACCTAGCAGCTCAAAGTGTCGGGCTGACTGGTTAGGAGATTCTCCGTGGTTTAAACAAAAGGGCTTTTTATGGAAGTTTCCGTTCAAGTTGGAAAAACTTAGGTTGACTTGTCAGCCGGTTTCAGTAGCTCCCACTCAGACCTGAACTCCCCAGCTGCGGCACAATGAAGGATATTTATATTCTGCCAGCCTGAACATGACCAGAGCCACATGTTTAGCTTGCGTACAGCCGGTATGAAACCACAGTTGACATTGTGACCAGATTTTAAAAGTAAACACCAGCCGACCGGCTCTGCACTGAGCTTTAAGTTTATGCTGGGTTTAAACAGTCCGAAGAAGAGCAATTTCAGCCCCCGGCTCCCTGCCGGTCTCTCTAAACGACCTCTACTTTGGCGCACGCCCTGGCTCACATTCCTCCTCTCCAAGGCTGACGTCTGTTTCAGCACATGGCAAGCAGTGTTTTGGCAAACGCCGCTGACACAGACTGATTTTACCCCAGCACTGGAGGAAAATGTCGACTTCGCTGTGTCAACGTAGAAACCTACACTAAAAAGAGAAATACCACAATATTCACAGAGTTTTCCAGCCTGAGGTGAGTCAGACAGCTGTAGAAGACCCTGCTGGTAGAAATCATAAAGAATAGCACATTGAAAACACAGAGATCCTGTTTATGGCCGGGCAGTGGTACAACGTTTGAGGGGAACATCCAGAATCAATAAATAGAGCCGAGTTCAGCTTTTGTTCCTCCACATAGTGAGAAAGATTTCCAGTGAAGTTAACGAAGGCTGACTCCTGGAGGGATCAGGCACAAAAATACATGCTGGAAAGGCGGCCATTACAAGTGACCTATCATTAACGAGTTAGGATGGGTCTATGGGCGACACAAAACATGTTCTTTACATTTTCTTTGCACAAAATCATTCTTGGATAATGAGATTTAGGTCTGCTCAGGTCTGCCTATTTTGATTTCCTTTCAGAATGAGCTGTTTTATGGCCTCTTGTCGCTTTAAATCTAAATAAGCTGCTGCTTTAACTCAACGTTTCCACTCGCATGTAAAAATGGCAGCAGACAGATGTGCAATTATACAACGTACATCTTTGAAAAGCAATAGTAGGTCCTTCTGCACAACCAACAAGACTGCAGTAAGTGGTTTTGGGTTGGTAAAGCAAAAACACTTGTCTTTTCCAGCAGCCATTGTACAGTGTATTGACACTTTGGACATGGCGTCATGCTCTTCAAAAACCTGCCTGCCTTTTGTACGTTTTCAATGCTGATCCGGTTTTACGCCTTTTACTGGCGGCGAAAAAGGCAGAGAATTCAGACAAACTAGATTTGTCCCATGGATGGGACTCCGCCAGTTACGCTGTTTGATATTGTGATTTAAATCATGCGGTATAAATTCAGGCAAAGTTGGTAATGTGACGGACAGGTCAGGAGGGAGGAGGTACGGTTCGGTTTCTGAGCTAGCTACTTCCAAATCTTGACAATACCACCATCTATGAGACCCAACCAGGTGTGTTACGTTCACAGTCAAATTAGCTCGACGCTAACAAGCAGAAACCATGAATAAACTTCAGTGGCTCTTTTCCACTACTCCCGAATGATTAAGTGAAGTAGCTGCAAAGAGTTTATAACCTGATAAAACAAACTACAGGATGACCTTTAAACTCAGATTGCGTTGCTAAGTAACGGCTTGGGGTGAATCCGGGGTTGCTAGGTAACAATATGAGGTTTTTGAAAGGGTTTGTTTTCCAGACACCAAAAACATAACGTCAAAAGAATGTCTGGGTGGTTTCTTTTAAGCGCTTGGGTTGAAAATAAAAATGTAATAAATGTAAATTTTGCATAATGGGTTCCCTTTAAAAGTCCCAGAGTAGGAAAATCCAGGCGGCACCAGAGAGCTACACAATCTGTGGACAAAGCAACGCTAACCCAGAGGGGATGACGGATATTTGTTTTCCAAAGGTCTGACTTAAGATTAGCACTCAATAAGATGTTGGGTGTGATTTTTCCGTTGTTTCTGACCTCAAAGCCTTAAATAGTCAGTCTGAACACACAATGGCTGTTGGGAGACAACATCAGCTCTGCATGACCTTTGTCAAAACGCAAGCCTTTCCATGAAATGTTTTAAAACAATAGCAAGAGAATTACTGATTGAAAATACAATAAATGTCCTCGAGGAGACCCTTTCAGCAACATTAAGGAGTTATATAACACAAATGATTTCCATTCAGAGTTACAAATGTTAAACAAAAAAGGAAAATAATATCTATTGCATAGATTAATTAGTATAACCATATGGATCATAAACAATGGTCTGTGGAAAGAAAGTTAACAGAACAAAGAGGAAAAGAAGAAAAATGAAAGAGAAAAGGAACAATGACAGAAAGATGGATGGATGCAAAGAAAGAACAAAGAAAGAAAGAAATGAATTATGAAATAAAAAAGGAAAGGGAAACGAGAGAAAGAAAAAAGCAGATGGGTGGATGGAAAGATAGAAAATGTGGGATGGAAGGAAAGGAGAAAGAAAGAAGAAAACAGATAAAGAAAAAAGAGAAAAATAGGAGGGAAGGATTACAAAGTAATAAAGAAACAAGAAATGGACGGACCATTGGACAGACGGACGGACGGATGGACGGAAGTAAATCTTGGCAACCTATTAAAGTGATTAACTTTCTTCATTTTGTTTGTGGTTCATTCCCATCTCAGCTGTGTTAATAAAAGGTTAACAAAGGATTAATAAATGGTTAATAAAGTGTTAACGCCTGGTTAATAAAGGGCTAAGTACGGATTAATAAAGGTTAACAAAGTGTTACTAAATGTTTAACAAAGGGTTAAAAAAGGGCTAGTAAAGGGTTAACAAAGTGTTAATAAAGTGCTAATAAAGGATTAATAAAGGGTTAACAAAGGATTAATAAATGGTTAATAAAGTGTTAGTTAGCAAAGTGTTAAAGTGTTAACAAAGGGCTAGTAAAGGGTTAACAAAGGATTAATAAAGTGCTAATAAAGTGTTAACGCATGGTTAATAAAGGGCTAACTACGGATTAATAAAGGTTGACAAAGTGTTAATAAAGGGTTAACAAAGGATTAATGAAGTGTTAACAAATGTTTAATAAAGGGTTAAAGATCCAAACTAAGCAGCGCTGTATTTACTCACTCTCACCAAACAGACCAGCAATAAATTACTAAACTCTTAAGGGGGAAGAGAGAGAAAGCTCCACTGCTGCTGCTGGATTCGCTCCATGTGTGTTGAAAACACGGACAGTTTTTGGAAACAAACATTTTCCATTTCTCTGTCACAGAGGCTGGAGCTGGGTTTAATTACGCTGAAAAAAAAAAAAGCTCTGCACATTTAAAAACAGAGACAATATAGAGTTGCACATGTTTATCTGAAGATATTGACAGAAACGGTGAAAGTGCTCTGATCTGTTGCAGAGGGAATTTCCACCTGAGCCCCCCTGCTGAGTGGGCAGACCGAAGAACCTGAGATGAAACCTTCAGAGACGCCTCACCCACTGGGAAACCTCCGCCGCACAGATGTGAATGTTTCTGCATCCTTTACTCATTTCATCTGTGAGTCACGTTTTTCTGAAACAATGCCGAGTTTCCATGCAAACGACTCCCAAGGGAACTCCATAAAATGCAGACTCCAAACACAGACTTTTGGGGTTTCCCACAGTTTCCAGTTTCTGTTTCAGGGTTTAACATTTTAAAATCCCTCTGGTCAAGAAAGACACTGGCTATTAAACGATCTGCAGGTGCGTCCCAGTGTGTCGGCACTTACGAAGCACAGCTATGAAGCTTTCCTTATCGAAGAGTATCCACAGTCCAAAGCCCATGATCAACGCTCCAAAGATCTGCAAAGAAAGAAGGAAGTGGAAATATAAGAGATTCACCAATCCAATATTAATGTCTGTGTTAATATTGATAAATAATATATATATAGAGAGATATAGATATAGATATATATATATAGATATATATATATATTTATATATATAGATATAGATATAGAGATATATATATATATAGATATATATATATCTATATATATATAGATATATATATATAGATATATATATATCTCTATATATATATCTATATATCTATATCTATATATAGAGATATATATATATCTCTATATATATATATATATAGATATAGAGATATATATATAGAGATATATATACAGATATATATATCTCTATATATATATCTCTATATCTATATATATATATATATAGAGATATATATATATCTCTATATATATATATAGATATATCAGGTATTGGTGACAGTGTGTAAAATCCATAAAGAGACATATCTACTCACTGTAAAAACATAAAATCTTCCCAAGTATTTTTGGTTTAGAACATGTGAAAAGATCTTAGTTCACTTGAAATAAGAGAAAACTAACTTAAAAGTAACTTTTAAGCAAGATATCAAGGCTTGGTTTAAGTAACAAAACAATAATATTGATGAAAAAGTGCTGGTTAGCAGATTGGTTCACTTTATACACTTCAAAAACACAAAAGTTTACCAAGTATTGTTTTAAGTGAAATAATCTGTTAGCGGAGCTATTACGGGGTTGCTAGGTGACGTCCTGAGCTTGGCCAGGGTTGCTAGGTAACGGCAAAGTGCCCGTTGACAGAGATAATCTGTTTTATTTTTTTGTCATCTGCAAATCTCAGAGTTAAGGCAAAATCGACAACATCTGAATAATTTAGATCTTAACTGCATAATAGTTCACTGTGCTGATATTATCAGCGTAGCTAGCATTACACATGTAAAATGCTAGCGAGGCTAACTGCTAATACAAGATCGTGAGATTTAGCTCCAAATGTTTCGCTAACATATTGATCGGCTTTATATAAGGCAAAGAAACATGATCATAAATAGAAATGGTCTCTCTCTTGTTCCGTTCTCAGGTTATTTCACTTCACAACAAGGAATTTTCGAGATAATTTATCTGCCAACAAACTGGAACTTTTTCATCAATATTCAGGAATTATTGACTTGAAACAAACCTTTACATCCTCATTAAAAGTACTAAGGTATTTGAACTAAACCAACTAAAAACTCAGTTTGTGTTTTTGCAGTGTTCAGTCAAATTCAATGCTTTATCATTTATTTTACAATATGTTTGGAATTGCTAATTGCACTTTCTCAACCATAATTTATTGGAATATGTTTGACCAACATATTGTTTTAGTCAGTTTCTGTTTTTTATCATTTATTTTACATTTGCTGTTTAACACTTTAAAGTTGTTTCTACATGTTTGACCAAGCTTGTGAAGCTAATGGTGTTTTTAAGTGTACTGTGTGGGAGCAGAATTATCAAATACATTTGTAATTCAGTACATTTATGTCTATGTTTTTAAAAAATAGGAACATTTTGAGCCAATTTGACGCTATTCTTCTGCATCGGTAAGACTCAGATATCGGCATCGAAAGTATAAAAAGTGGATCGGTGCATTTCTGTGTCATTTGAGAACAAAACAGACGGGTATGCCTGAAAACATGGGAGAGTTTTCTTTCACTTTCTTACTTTCGCATCTGGAAGTCATTAAACCTTAATTTCTGTCTTTCTGTCGTAGCAGCAATGAAGAAAATGCCTCTTCCACATTTTCTCATGATTACCACCCAACGAATCCAGCGTAGTTGGTTTATGATTATTTCATTCCCTCATATTTTTACTGCAACTGAAAGTTTGGAAAGTTTTGACTGTGAGCCTCTGTTTAGAAGTTGCAGGGTTCTGTCTCGGGGACCAAAGTCCTCAATAAGAGGCTCTGTTGATTCTCCAGCTTCCTGCTTGTACTGCTGCCCCCTCTGAAGCCCCACAGCAGTAATTAGTGCCCTGCTTAGGAGCCGATCTCTTAAAGAGGCTGCAGAGCACCAGCAGCCATTATTAGCCCACCACTTCCTGGCTCTCTTGGCCTCATCGTGCATAATTTGTCCACATGGACAAAAACTTGACACAGACACACACGCTTCCTATTAGAGCCCAGTTGACTTCAAAAGGCCTGTGTCAGGTTTATAGATGCAGACTCATTGGAAAGGTCTGGACAGCCTCGCAGAGTCAGTGTTGGAAAGCAGAACTGGACTTTAATGGAAGAGAGGAGGAAGCAAACTGGAACCATCTGCTGTTACTCAGACCTGGCTGGTCTGTAAAGTTTCTTACCGCAGGCATAATTTCCTTATTCGGTATCTGGTATTTGAATAGATAATTATTCAAATAAAAAGCCGAAAGGCAGCAAACATCTCTAAAGATTACATGGTTTTCCAGGTTATCAGTGAGGCACCAGTGATGGTTTCACTGTCCGTTTTGTTTTGCGAGACGTTAGCTAGCTTCTCTGTGTTAGCCAACGTCCCAGCTAGCACAGAGAAGCTAGCTGGTGATTTTAACCTGAACATTTTCCTCGTAGTTGGTCCTGAAACTCAACAGTTCAATCTTTTTCTGATCAGTGAACAGAAAATACCAAAGTGCTACTTGGTTGCATTGGCAACAACACAGAAAAAGACTCAAAGTTAGCTAATTTCAGTTTCAACTCCTCAAATTAGGCAAGAAGAAAATAACACTATTTAGCTCTCTATACAGTAAATTTCAGAATTGGTGTTAATTCTTTCAGCATTATTTCAACAAATGATTCGGTTATTTTACCACCAATCACTTTTAACACCAAAAATACTTGGTAAGATTTTGTGTTTTTGCAGTGTACAGTTTTTCCAGAGTTTTGTTTGTGAAGATGTTGCACTGATTCGATATTCGGTTCCATTTTATTGGAAATTGTGACTTCTGATTGGTTTTTTAAGTAAACAAAGTCAGAACTAATGAACTGATAAAGAAAGGGCTTTACTTACAAAAAAGAGGAGGTTGAAGAGGAATAAGAAGTACTTGGTGACTGTGATGCATCCTTTCGACATGGCTGTGATTTGGCCGGGCTACTTAGCAGTGAGTCGTGAGCCTGAAACATAAAAACATCCATTTAGTCTCACCTCAGTAGGAGAACGTCAGAGCAGATTGTGGGGAAAATCTGCACAGCTGGATTTATTTTTAAACACAGCCATAATCTGCAGAGACTAAACATTGCAATCGTTCATGGGTTTTCACGATTTCATACTTTTCCAGGCTAAAATTTCTAGATTTCCATTTAACAACAAAATATTCACCGTTATTCCGATTAAATGGCAGTCCGATTTGTAGGTTTCAGAAATGATAAAACATCATATGTGGTACACTTTCTCATTTTGCAGCTTGGACGCCAGCTGCGTTTCAAACTAACTGGTGGATTTGTCACATAAGGTTTAAAATATTCCATTGAAAAAAAGAAAAAATGAATTGCTGCTATAAAAAAATAAAATTAAATTAAATTTAAAAAGTGGTAATTTTATTGGATTTTTTAATAACTGAAAAAAAATGAAATTAACCTGATTTGAAGTTGCCTGAAAAGTAGCAACAATAATTAGTGAATAATGTCTGCATTCAGTCATAAGTCAAAACCTCAAAATGTTGGATAAAATGTTAAAAATCAAGACGTGATTTGTTATAAACCTGGAAAATAAAACCCTTTTTCATGCTCTGCTGTATTTTTTTCCATATCTTGGGCTGGAAAATGTTCAAAAACTTTTTAAGACCCTGAATTCATTCACAACAGCTTCTTAAAGCGCCAACCCTCCAGTCATTTACGCGTGTATCAGCAAACCACTGACCTCAGAAGGTTGAAAGTGGCCTTGTTTACCACTACAGCAGCAAAGAAAAGGAAGCAAAGTTTCTCTGAAGAGTTGAGTCTGGTTGGCCATTTGGTTTCAGTCTGCATGAAAGTGGGGAAACAGATTCGCCGCTCTGTTTGCTAGCAACAACAGTCCTGGTTGCAAACATTGTTTTATGGGCTATTTTTAAACGGCGCCGCGTTCAACGACTTTATCTGGTGTCATAGGAAACACATAAACAGAAACCATGATGTGGATGTAAATCTGATCTGACTTAAACTTTGGCATTTCTATCAAAGTGTCAAGAAAACCAACTCAGCACAGAGTATACTTTCCTAAAACTCATCAAGCCAGCACCATTCAGCCTGAACGTCACTAAATCCAAAGAAAATACACCCGCTGCAAGATGTTATTCCGCGCTGGAAGGAGCAAAAATACACCCGTCCATTGTGGTTATTTGAGGAGTCTGAAAATATCCCAAAACGACGACTCCCTCCCTGCGGATCAGATTACAAGCTGCTTCCATCTCTCCCTTCACTTCTGCTCAAAATCTCTAGTTTAGACTCTGTTTCATTAAGTCCTCTTAAAGAGCAAAGTACACCATTTCAAACTCAATAGATGCGTCAATGTCAACAAAAATTCAAAATACTTTGTCAAAGGGATTCAACAGAAGCTTCCTAGAGGTTAATATGAGAATAATTTGATTACATTTGACAAACTAGAGGAGGAAGATGCCACCACCGTCAGATCAAAACCTCACATCTGTGAAAACACAGGAACTGAAAACAAGCATCCTTCTTCTGAATGTGAATCCATCCGTCACATGGTGTTTTTGATACTTGTAGAGATGGTTATTGATTAAACCACAGACAGACGCTCCACAGACGCTCCACAGCAAAACAAAAGTGTGAAAAAACTATAAAAATGAGAATAGTAACAGGAATATTACATAAAAAATTATAAGACTGTACAGTAATTGGTACTCTGCTCTACATTATGATTTCACCAGGTGACTCAGAATTCGTCCAATCACTGAAGAGATGCTGAGAACTGAAAAATGTGTGGATGTGCCAAAACTTTCTCCAGCTGAACAAAAATGAAACTGAAGATTTTATATTTGGACCGAAAGAGGAACAATGTAGTGTCAACACACAGCTTCAGTCATTACAGCTGGAAACTAGAGATCAGACTGAACTCTGACCTGGACATTCAGAGCAACATAAAGACGGTTACAAAGACGGTAATACATTGATAAAGTTTACCAATGAGAAGATATTTTTAAATATCAAACCAAAAAGAATAAATATTAGAACAAAAACGGATTATGAAGTCAAAATCGCCTTCAAGAGTCAAAATTCCTATAAAATTTGCAGTAATTTTGACCCTAATTTGATAAAATATGTGACTGACTCCATGTTCACATATTTTCCATCACTGAAACTCTCCATGCACAACATTAACTTATTGGCCAGAAAATACGGAGAGAGCTTCCTGTTTACAAAACTGAAACGAGTCCAAACCCCAAAGCACTCAGCAGCAAAGCAGATAATCCTCAAAGGAGATTGTTGTCTCGATGTTGAGCAGCAATGCGGATTAAAAAAGGCTGAGTTATGATACCGTCTGCTCACATCACTACAAACATCTCGATTGCATTTTCAGAGAATTAAATGATCACCAACATGGTTGCAAGTAAAGCTTAAAGTGGCGACACTGGAATTAGTTCGACAAACTTTGTTTAGAGTTTCCATTTTTATCCTAAGCTACAAGAAGAAGTGTTTAAAAATAAAACCGTCTCATTCAGCATGCGCTTTTGTCTCCAGGTCTCTGCTGTTGTTGTGAATATTCTGAGTTTAACATCCTGATTTCTTGACAAATAAAGACTTTTTGTCACAATGGTAACTAAAGTTTGGATACAAAAGTTTTAAAGAACCTTCTGCCGCTGCTAAATTACGCATAATTTAAGGCTCTTTGAAAATGACACAACTGGCTAATCTTTAGCTATAGTTAGCATTTTGTATTCAGGTTTGAGACTCTTATTTTGGAGGGATTTTCTGCATTATTACGTTGACATTGTTGACGAATCTGCTTCTGACCAGGCTGACTAAAAAATAAAACTGTGAGGCAATGTGTTAGCTGCTAACAATGCTAAAGCTAGCATCTAATTCATAGCTTCACCCAAACCCTGTTGGATCTGTAGGATCTTATTTTGAAATAAGAAAGGAAGTAGGTTTTGAGTTGCCCTGTCAAGCTGACAGAAATGAACAAAGATTTTGCATGTAGTTTTCCATATGGCATTACATTCCTGCCAAAAATCTTGTATCAATGAACCATACCAGCATATTTTTTTACTCTAAACATGAGTATTTTCTTTTATTTGCCATAAACGCTGCAGTAAAACACAGCATTTCTACCCATCTGTACAATTTCCTCAGAAAATTGAGCGTATTTAGAAAGTAACAACTCTTCTTCTATAATTTTATTCAACCTTCTTCTTTTGCAATTCAACAGCATTTGAGCACCTGTTGACTTCATAATTCAACAATCAATAAAGAAAGTTTAAGTCTGAGAGAAGTCTATGAAATCTTTATTTTCTTAATTAAAACATAAAAATGTGTTTCTAATGCATTTTATAACATTATTCTACAACAAGTACAAATTCTTTGCAAATATCTAACATTTATCTCATCAATACAGTGATTTAAAAAAAAAAAACTCTCAAAACGAGCCTCCATGAAGTAAAAGTCCTATGACAAGAAACTGAAAGCAGGAGTAAAAACACCAGTCTTATTATAACTTTATATGCTGCATGCAGCAGCACCAAAATTACTGGTGAAAAAAAAATCTGGACCAGTTACCAGAACTTTCCGGCTTACTGACATAGATTTTCCCTCTGCAGCGTAAGATCTGTGCTGTGGCTCACTTTAAAATGTTACTGCCAAGAAACAGTTTGGGGACTAATAACAGAACCGCTGCTTAGCTGAAACAGAAAAATAGCTGGTTCTGAACCTATCAGAGATGAGACCAGGAAGCTACATACTAAAACAGATGCAAAGTCTCTCCACATTGATACCAACAAGATAAAAGCTGCAAGTTTCATTCTGATGCTGCTGAAGCCTTTACTGCTCTTCCAGAGTCCAGCTGAAACATCTGCAGTCATCTTGTTTAGTCTTCGACACAAAGGAGCTTTTGAATTCAATGTGCACTGTAAAATATTTGAGCCACATTTAGTTGTGTTTACTATCTTCTACTCTTTAAGTCAAATAAATGTATCCAGTTTTAGATGTTGACCCTAAATGTGAGTTTGTGAAAGATAAACTTACAGCAGTAAGTTGTGTTAACTTTTATTAATTCAGTCAAACCTCCATAAATAAACTAGTTTTTAGGTTAGCACTTAAAAAACTGAAAGAGGAGAAAGACAGGAGTGGGAACTATTTCCCAGAATGCTTAGCGGCATGTTTCTGTATCCTGAGATGGAAGTGCGTTACATTGATCTGACTCTGGTGTTTTATTAAGGGAAATGTTTATTTTAAAGCTTGAGGATAATGTCCTGTTCACACTAAATGTTTCTGAGCCGAATTCATTGGGATGTTTAATAAAATTCATCATCAGATCAGAAATTTTGTTCATGCAATTTGATTTAAATTATTCTAAAGTAAAATAAGTATTTATTTTAACTTGATATTGTGAGTAAAATAATAGAGAAATGTGGCTCTTTATCTATTTTTGTTTTTGCGTATTGTGAAATAATTCTTTGGTTTAATTTGCAACGTTAAATTAAACCAATTTTAACTAAACTGACAATTTAAGATTTATGAAGTTAAAAAACAATGTTTAAACAACTTGTCTCTTGTTGTTGAATCAACTTCATGAACTTTAATTTCTGAGTTGAAACCAAAACAATTTTCTTGTTGATTTAAATGGCATTTTCCAGGCAGCAGGTGGAGTTTTGTTTTCAACTTAAATCAAATGTTTTACAGTGTAATGCTGTAAAACAGCGTCTTCAGGTCTCTGAAAGGTTTGGGATGAGTTTTAGGAGATAACGAAGGGGCTTTCCTGTTCAGCATCGCAATGACAACGCTGTGACAAAAATGTGTGAAACCCCCTCAGGTGACTTTCCTCTTTCTGTCTGTGGAAATCATGAAGCATCTGAGCCAACAACTAAAACCTGAAGCAGAACATTGCTCATCAGAGAAGTGAGATAACAGGAAGCTCCATATAAGGAGTGCTGCTTTCACTCTACCAGTTGAAAAACAAAAAGATACCATTCATGCTCTCCACTCGAACACATCAATAGAAGAAACAGCTTTAAGTATCTTGTAAGAACTGAACAATTCGCAGACGTTTGCTGACTGTCGTCCCAGTTTGGAAAGCCGCCCTGTCATTAGCTGGCAGCGTTGTTAAACGTGGGGCGGATCGGCCAAAACCTAAATTAAAATACTGCGTTCTAATCTGTGCATATGAGGCGCCTCCCTTCTCTGAAATGTGTCAATTGTTTATTTGAAAAAGCCTTTCCGACTGCAGCAGCGACGAGAAAACGACCATGTGGAGGTCAGGGAGCAGCGGACTGAACGTCTGACAGCAATAAAAAGAAAGAAGGATATTTTATAATGGGATGGAGATAGAAATGTTAAGTTATGAATGGCTTAAATGGCTGAGATTACAGATTGAACAGCAGCAGCTACATTTAATATTATTGTATGGCTGGCATTTATAAGTAGAGTTTGAAAACCATTTAAAATTTTGCAATTTCACCACTCAATTCTAAACCTTATAAACTATTTTTTTTGTTTAATTTAACGTTGCAAAACTCATCAAGACCATGAATGCTCTTAAAGGGCCGGTTGTGCCAGAATGTATTGATAAAATATCAAATATCATTGAATTCTTATCATCAAATATTCTTGAACATCTTTTCAGGATGTTGTGATTCTTTTTGTGATTTTTTTTACAATAAAAATTAAAGTGTTTGTGGTACTAATTTGGAAATATTTGGGTTGCAGGTTTGCAAATTAGCATGTGGCTGGAAAACCTGCTTTCAACAGCTGCTTTGTTTTGAACAGGTAACAATGTTTATGGTGGTGTTCTTCATAAAATCCAGTTGAAATAAATGATATACATTTATACTTTTTTTTAAATGACTGGGTATAAACCGGACACTTACCAGTAGACTATACAAGTTTTCACAAATTACGGTTTTAAAAATGCTAACCTTATTATGAAGAGCGTATGCTAAAAGGAAAAACTGTATTCCCCGGCTACCTGAAAAATGCTCCAACACTTTTTGTTTGCATACAAGAAAGAAAATTATGTTTGTTTTGTAAATATTTGGTGAAAACTAAACAGACTCTACTCTGATGAAGGCATTGGCATCTTAAAGCGATTAAGCTAGCTGCTAGCTTAGTCGTGTATGTGCTAAAAGAAATACTTCAAGGATGAAGTTTTTTTATTAACTACTTTTTGTATCTCATTGACATAAAATAAAAATATGTTAAAAAAAACTGAAAGAGTGTGACTGCTGTTTGCTATTTTCTGTGCCTTTGTATTAAACATGTGGAAAGATGGAGAAATAACTTGGTGTTTCCCTTGAACACATGGGATATAATCTTGTACAGTGTGACAATGACTAGTTAATTTGATAAAAGATTAGATTGTCATAAAAAAGTCTTTTGATGTGTCCACCAGAGGGCGCACGACTGTCCAAGGAGTCCAATTAGTGACTTTCTATTGAATTAAAATCTTTAAACTAAATTCTGATAATTATTATTCACTAGATTGTTAAAATAGATAATTTTATAGCAAGTATTATTTTAACTAGTATCATAAATAAATGAACATGTTACGTTTTTCGAACTATAATGGCGATCTCTTTTATAAAATGCACAAATGAGCTAATGGTACCAATATTAGCTGATACTTTCTTGTTATGCATCCTTATTTAGAGTGTAGAGTCTCCATAATTTTATTTTTGTCAGCTGCAGTTGGAATGTGTAATTTTTTTTTTACATTTGAGTAAAAGTAACATGATTATATTACATATTTATTTTCCTATTTTGCTAAAAACACCATAAACTTTTGTTGTTTATTTTTAACTAGTATCTATGTGAACAAACTTGGAAAAAAGAAAAAAACAAACACATTTCCTAACAGGCACCAGGACGGGTCACCCACAGCCCCTGGATTTCACAGTTACGCCACTGCACACAGCATTTAGCAACCAAGTTGAGCTAAAGTCCCAAACTCCCGCAGTTACCTGACAACTGGCTGCTGTTTATTTTCAGTTTTCACGCAATGAAACTCAACCGAAGACTAAAACACCAAACTTTGTGTAGGACACTTGGTGATGCCAGCTGTTACAGACTTAATCATAAAGGTTTGAAACGGATCCGGTGAGGCAGATCTCTGGGAAAAACTGAACATTTTCATCCCGTCAAAACCACAAAGATCAGTTTAAAGTCGACTCGTTTTATTCAATTCCCTTCCAGGTCAATTTACCGAAACTCTGTTTTCTTTTAAGGACAAAACCCAGAGTTCGGGTCGCTCCGGACCGATCCGGACTCATTCCCAAAGTGTTTTTTAGCTGAACAAACATGAACGGGACTTACTGTGGGTTGTCTGCAGACGTCCTCAGTGGATCCTGCTGAATGTGGGACGCGAAAGGTCCGTGAAAAAAGAAAACTGGATGCTTGTCTCTGCCTCCTTTTCTGTGGGCTGTGTGTGTGGGCGTGTGTGTGTGTGTTCACACCCCCACCATGCGGCGGCAGACACAACATCGACCCCTACGTGTCACATACGTCATCAGAGAGAAGTGAATCTTCTCATTTAATACAGAACATAAACACAGGAATATATTGTTACATATGTCGTTGTCTTATAATAATCAACAGTTTCCAGGAATCTGATGTTTTCTGTTTGCAAGCATTAATTTCAAATGTAAATATTTATTTATTGCCTAGATATTTAGGATTTAGCAGAAAAATAAATATATATTTGTCTTTAAATATATATATTGCTGGTCCTTTACCAGGCCTTTACTCTTACAGAGAGTGTATAAAAATAATGAAACAAAACATAAATGAAACCAACAATTATTAACCTGCAAATAAACTGTAAATAATACAAAAAAACACAAATTTAAGAATAAACTAACAAAATTCAAATGGTTAAAGAAATAAAGAATGAACAGCAACAAAATGAACCAGAACCGGGTTCACTTGGTGGAAAGCACACACACACACACACACACACACACACACACACACACACACACACACACACACACACACACGAGCTTTTTAGTATATAAACTACACACACTGATCTCATCCAAACGCTGCAGCTTTTCAACCTCTGTGCGATGTGTGTGTGGAAGTGGAAAACAGTCGGTTCGGTCGGTTTTATACTTTTGGTTTGACGGGTTGGAACATGTTTCTAAATTTAATTACCAAAGTGGGATTACAAAACAGCCTGTTGAGACACGTTAATGTGTCATTTCCGCTGAGGGGCTGGTACAAAGCGCTTTAAGATTTTTGAGCCAGATATCGACCTCTTGCGCGTGACGTCATGCCCCCCAGAACCCCGCCCACTCTGACGTCAAAACAGCAAAACGCGCTCCTTCAAAGCCAGTCTAAAAACAGACATCCGTAGCCTAATGTCGCTTGTGTTCAGGTGATTTCGCAGTCAAAATGATCACAGGGCGCTACGAGGTCGGCTGCAGAAACAGACGAGGATATAAACCAAACTTGTCATTTTGTGACGTTTAATGAGGAAAGAAATGGCGTCAGCAGCTGGTCATGACGTCAGCCCTCACGGCGAATTTCCAGCGAACAGTTCTTACAAGATAAGATGATTAACGCACTTATACTTTACAAGTATTATTAGAAATATATTGATAAATATTGCATGGAAGAGAAGGTACGCGCCTAACCGTTGGTAACCATGGAGACAACGCATGTAGCCTAGCATGTATGGAAAACTGGTTAGCATTTCGTCTTTTTGTAGGTTTTTAAAGCCGCTCGGGTTTAAGGGGGAAACGCTGGTTGATATAGTGATTTAAATCATGCGGCATAAATTCAGGCAAAGTCGGTAATTTGACCCAACACGCCAGGAGGGAACCGGTATGCGCCGGTTTCTAAGCTAGCTGAAACAGTTGGTTTGTGAGCTATGAGCCCCGACCAGGCGTGTTACGGTCACAGACAAATTAGCTCGATGCTAACAAGGAGAAGCCGTGAAAAAACCGACAAAGCTCTGTTCCAGACTCCCATACGTCACTTCCGACGTCCGCCATGGCGCCTTGAATGATTTTAAGTGGCGTAGATGCAAAAAGTCACTGCTTTACTTTGCAAAGTCGATAATTTGATCAACATGTGAAATTACCGAGGAGATGAGGTCAGTGATGTCAAATAGGGCATCACATAAGTGCCATCACTGCCTGTACATGACATCAGTGATGTCAAATAGGGCATCACATCAGTGCCATCACTGCCTGTATATGACATCAGTGATGTCAAATAGGGCATCACATCAGTGCCATCACTGCCTGTATATGACATCAGTGATGTCAAATAGGGCATCACATCAGTGCCAAATGTGCCTATATGTATGAGCAGTGATGTCACAGGGTTTGGCAACATTGAAAAATATTAACTTTTAAACCAAGTATTTGTCTTTTTATAAACAAGTTTTTATTGTAAGTTGAACTATGTCAGTTTTATTGAATAGCAGACATTACCACACTCAAATCAGCTTTTATCTCATTTATTAATCTTTGCTAAATTTTTATCAAGATTTTTGAAAGAAACTGACCCAAATCCTGTTCTTATACTTAGCAAATGTGTTTAATTTGAAAAGTAGATGCCTTCAATTTAATGGAGCGAATGTGCAAAATCATTTTTTTTTTATTTTGGATCTACACTTAAGTGGTTTTGGTCTAGTTTCTAGTGCAAATATCTTAGTAAACTTGACTTAAGATATTTGCACTAGAGATTAGACCTAAAATACTTGGTAACAGCTTGTGGTTTTGCAGTGCAACCCAAAGAATAAAAAATAAAATAAAAACTTTATTTGCTTGATTTTAGTGTTTTTATGTTCTTTACCCACATGTACTTCTCACTGGACAACAAACAGAATGACTTCATTTTCAGATGTTCCAATAATAAACAAGTGCTCTTTTTATTTCAAACTAATAATCAGATTTCAATCACAATTAATTTATCATGTACAATATCCCACATATATACAAGAAAACACTTTGCTACAATTTAAAACAGATAAACAACATATGCCATCCGTAACATTGTGAGGGAATGAAGTATTTTTGCACTATTTTCAGACTTGAAGACTAGTTTTCAGTTCCATATTTCTAATTTACGACATCAGGGATGATGAAAGAGTTGCTCTGCCTCCTCTCCTCTGCCCTCCTCTGCAAAATTGCTGTTCTCTCCAAAAATAGACCTGCCTTGCAGACCTTTGAACATTTCACCAGGCTGATCGTTTGAGGCCTGCAGCACTGATGGAAACGGAACGACACTTTTTTTCGTACTCCATAATTATGCTTGTCGGCGCAACGTAAGGTCGGGGAACACAATGTTACTCGGGAGAGCTGCTTCTAATTAAACCCTGCAAATATAAAAAATAGCATAATTACGGCTTGTTAGGGGTGCAGGAGACCTCACCCGTGTTTCAGTTTTCCCCATCTGAGCTGAAACATGGGTGAGGACGGCGCACATTTCCCTTCAGTGCTGAATCTGAACAAAAAAAAAAAAAAAAAAAAAACACCCTCTGACCGCAGAACCTCTCCCTTCTGGCGCAGGACTTAATGTGGCCACTGGAAACCTGATGGACCACCACTGGAGAAACTCGGCTTGCTTATAGTCCGAATCCGTTTTGATTTTCAAGTTTCAAACTGATGAAAAAAGCTGTTTTTTTAATGACAAATAAGCCGTTTTAACCCTCAGTAAAGCATTTGAGCTAGAAAAATGCATAAATATAAAAATAAATATCTGCTTAGGTAAGATAACTTTAATGTGCTGATTTAAGAGTATTTTTTGGTTACTAGAGCTAAAAATCTGATGTGATGGCTAATAAAGTCGTGAAAAATCAGTTTGGTGATGAAATTTATAACATCCTCTGCATGTTTTGGATTCCTGGTAAAGCTGTGTAAAAAGGTTCAAAATTCCCATTTATTTTAGCCATACGTTGCATCAGAACAGAAAAGAAAACCATTAAAATCAGCTGGTTGTCCAATAAAAAGTTTTTAAAAAACCAACATAAATTAAAAAAAATCAAAGAGGCAGAAAATGTAGAGCAGAGTGGATATTGGGCAAGGTTTAAAAATAAAAATGAACATAAAAAATCCTTCTATAGCTCACAAATGCTTATAACAACCATTTATTTTAGATACAGATTATTATTTTAAGATATATATTTTTAAGATTTAAAATCTGGCCATCGTTCTGACTAGAAGTAATATTAATGTTTTAGAGTAGCCAGAGTTTTAACTTCAGATAATCTATAATTATCCATCCATGAAAATGATGGATAATATGATAATTCATCAAAATATCTGAGGAATATATAAACGCTGCTCAGGATATGATAAAAGATGTCAAAGATTTTTCCACATATTTGTTAGTAATATTAAGTTTGGGCTCCAATGTTCATTAAAAATATCTATGTCGATGTTTTTATTGTTTGGAAAAAATGTTCTCCTGCAATTTATAAATTTTGTTTTAACTTGGGGTGCAGTTATGAAAAATTATGAATTTTTTTGTACATTTTTGATGGATTTTGCAATTTTATTTATTGTGTTTATTATTAATTTATGTACATGTATTTATCACATTAGTGTATTATGAACTTTTCCTCACCATTGAAAATGTGTTTTTAATGACAAAGCTTTTCTACAGGTCTTCACCCGGGTGGCTCAACAAAATATGATTTAAATAGGTAGAAAAATAAGACACATTAAAAGAAGGTTTAACCTTTAATAACAATTGATTAATACTGAACAAGTTCCCTGTTTGGTTCACAAGAACACCACTTAATATTAAATACTTACTTACATATTTACAAGAGAACTGATGACTGTTCTTTGAGTTGTTTTAAGGCAAGACTATGGATATGGTGCATGGCATTAAAAAACGAGCTATGCTACATAACTAAGAGATTAGTTGATCAAGCACAAGACATGCTTGATTCGACCAGCTAATGACACATGAAGGGTTTGATTTTCAGTCAGGTTAAAGTTCCTCCTAATAGACAACTGTATGGTTTCTCTGGATCGATTCACCTCACAGGTTCACATAACAACATGACGGTTAGTTGTGCTTTATAAACTCTCAGCCTAAAGCCTGACAAATATGAGATTTCAAAACTAAGACACAGATTTTTAGACTAAAATAATTACCAGTCTTGGTCGAACGGGTGAACAGAGAGTTTCTGGATACTCAACCCATCAGGTGTTTCTGTGTCAACAATCCAGCATTGATCTCATCTAATGATTTTTCTAGAAACTCAGAGGAAGGCAGTTCGCGTTTTCACATATAAAATATGAGTTCACGTCCAAAAAACAACAAATGGCACAAACCCTTGAGCGTGAGAAAGGAAACTGTAGTTAGATGAAAAGAAAAACACGAAACACTTCACCTGGATATCGTACAGCTGTAGAGAAACACCGACAGGTGGTACGTCTGTCCTATACACTTTAAAGTTTCACACAGACGCAGCGTCCAGCACTCAAAACTACGCAGAGGAGGAATGTGTGTGAAGTCCAGCCGCTCCGTGTGACGCTGAGGTTTCTTGTTCCTGTTGAATCGATGGCCATGTGACGCTCTGCTCGTCAGTTAAATATCACTTTGGTGGGGTTTGTAGTAGGCCAGGTCCCACAGAAAGGGGGTATGAGGCCTTTTACTTACAAAGCAATGAGACCCGCTGGCCCCCAGCTGTGATTTGTGCTGAAACACCCCTCGCTGAAGCGCCGCAGTTGGCTCAGATCTTCTTGGGCTTGCGGCCCAGGTGGTAGTAGTACGCGACGGTGACCACGAAGAAGAGAACTCGACTGAGGAGCAGCAGCATGGCGGCGCTGGGCAGGATGCCGATCTCTATCAGGGTGACGCACGTCACTGAAACACAAAGCCATGTCAGCAAAACCATTTCCTGGACATGTATTCTCCTATTTATTTTTATTGAAGGTGGCTGGGAATAAATTGTCATTTTCAGAAAACACTAAAAATGTAGAATATGATTTTTATATGGTCGATGCACCGACTGCAGTTTTCTGGCCAATCAGCAAGCTTTAAAAAGCCTGACCTGCCGGTTCAGATTTATTTTATCTTAAATGTTGCTAAATATAGCAACAAAGTTGCTCTTTTGGCAAAGCTGGGTCTTCTTGTTACCCTCTGCATCCCCAGAACCAGAACCAAACGTGGCATTCAGCTACTATGCTCCAACAATCTGGAGCAAACTTGCTGAAAACTGTAAAACAGCCAAAACACAGAGTTCCTTTAAATCTAGATTTGCTTTCGAAACATCGATGCACCCTACTTTTATGAAGAAATTAGTTTTTAACATATTTGTTGAAACTGTCATTACATCATATGACACAGATAATCTATGGGGAAAAAAGCTCCTCTGCTTTCTCTCACTGCAAACTAAAAGCAACCAATCAGCGGCAGGAGGAGGGTTTTAGAGTCAATCATGCCTGTGTGCATGCCACTCAGCCCAGCCACGCCTCTTACAAACCCAGTGAAAGTTAAACCACTATATAAAGAAGAGTCCATCTGAAATCAAAGTTGTTCCAAGATAATGGAAAACAAAAACTCTGATTTATTGGTCAGTTTCTGTGTGATGCTTCCAGCATATTCTTAACATCTTGATTTTAATTTACCATTTGATACCTGACTTTTTTTTTATATCATCTTCTGGCAATATTTACAATAGGAACTTATTTTCTTCTACACAGACACATTAAACCATCTATAAAAACTTGTGAAAATCGACCTTAAACCAACAGAACATGGAGTATAACTGTCATGTTTATCAGATAAAATAAAAAAAAAAAAAAAAACAAAGTTCAGCTACAATGTGACAAAAATGTGAAAAAGTTGCTGGAGGTGTGAATAAATGTTACATTGAATCTGACATCAGAAAAATGTGTGTCATCTTTAAAGAGCTTCAACGCTGTGATTCGCCAAACCTGCCACCAGAGGGCACTGTCCACGTGTCCATGAATGATGAAACTCGTTCCCACTGAGCTCTGAACTCATCCGATGTTTATCAAAGTAAAATTAGAGCGTTTGAACAGCACGTCTCACGGCAACAGAAACACCACATGGCAACTCTTAAGATCTGTTAATTACCTAGAAACTGGACGGCAAAGTAGCAGGCTTCACTGAGGAGAGTCCACTGGATGATGACCTTTTCTGCTGTGTAGAGACCGTTCCACATAATGAGGGCGAGGCCTGCAAAAAGATACGATCAAAGAGGATTCATAGGTTAAGGGTTTAGAGGCGTGGGAATAAAAACGGAGCAAAGAGAAACGCTCCGCTGACTTTATCACCAATAAATGGAAAAACCGGTTCAGCTGAAGTTGAGCAGCTGAAGCAGGACGACGGTTCATCATGTGCATCACATCGGAGCTTCAGAAAAGCCTGCGTCCTAAAATGGTTCATCGGATTCCTCAGGTCCGCTTTCTTCTACTAAAACTGGCGAGGCTCCAAACCCACTGCGCGCCATTGTTTACGTTCGCGCATGCGCACAACTCCGGGAGAGCAAAATGACGATTCAGTTAACTCCGTTAACTGAACATATGTAGGCATTATTTACTTATCGCAGTGAGACAGCAAAGGGGGAAATAAAGCAGAAAAACCGGTAAAGAACAACGTCATGCTATTTTGTTTCTCGCCCTCTGCATCGCTACTCTACGAGAAAACTCGTTGCCATAGCAACAGACGACAAAATGCCACTACATGTTTCAGGATTCACAAAAAACATTAAAAAACACTCCTACATTTCCCACACAAAGAGCAGAACATCCAGTCTGTTACAGCTCTGGGTTTTTAATGTTTATTTTGCAATTATTAATAAGTGACCTCTGTGGTAGATTAGCTACCACTGCTACCAGCTAAACTAACAATGCTATCAGCTAAGCTACCACTGCTACCAGCTAAACTAACAATGCTATCAGCTAAGCTACCACTGCTATCAGCTAAGCTACCACTGCTATCAGCTAAGCTACCACTGCTATCAGCTAAGCTAACAGTGCAACAGCTAAGCTAACAGTGCAACAGCTAAGCTAACAGTGCAACAGCTAAGCTACCACTGCTATCAGCTAAGCTAACAGTGCTATCAGCTAAGCTACCACTGCTAATTTAAACGCCAACTCGACTGATGATAAGTCAGTTTTTTATGTAGAATCTGAACTGAAACACTCCGCCTCACATCTACATGTTACGGTTGTCAAAATCAAGCAGGAATAATTGACCCACTTCCGTCTTCTTCGGGTTTTCTTCTTTATAACATTATCGAGTTGTCATAGCGTTGACAACTAGTAGCAAAGCACCGACTCCCTTTTCCTTTTACACAGCAGGCGTATGTTTAAAATGTAGCGTGTTATAGTTACAAATTAACAGCTGAAACTAATGGTCGTCATCATCAGCCAGCAGCTTTTTGCCCTCCAGCAGGGATCTGACTCCTGTGACGTCACGCTGCAAAGGATCCATTGGAAGAAGAAGAAGGGGAGGGCAGCGAGGTGGGAGGGCTGATGGACTGCATCCTCTCCCTGCCAGGATCCATCTGTGTGGCAGATGAGCCGCCATCCTTCACCCCTACTGCTGCACCTCGTCTTGCAAGACGTGCCCCCTCCCTCTGCTGCTCCCTGAAGCTCTGCTGACATTTATCATAATGAAGCCCGGCTCTAGCTGGCCTTATGGAGCTCAGCCATGATTTATGCACATGAAGCCTCGCAGTGACGCGCTTACAGTTTCAGCTTGCCAAAACTGCAACCAGGTTGTGTTTATGATTTCTGAGATCACCCAAATTCAGACCCAAAAGTGGCTCGACTTCAACATATTTTCACCCAAGTAAAAATAAAAAACAGCCATAAGAAATTACTAAAGTTAGAGTAAACCGTATTTGGTAAAAGTAACCGATCAAATTATCAATCATTCAGTATTTAGAAATCACATCATCAGGCGGACTGGAATATAAAGTTATGTGGTGATTTGGATATTTTAAAAACTAAACCTTAATATTAAAATGCATTGGTAAAAAGGGAAGTCAACAAGCTGCATATTCATTTGCATTTTAGTGGAAATTGTAACTTTTCAGCTGAGCATCAAAGCAGTTGGTAGGATTTACAGACTTGGCACAAGAAAATACATCTGACAAATAACGTCCCGCTAGCGCTCATGCAGCATCTGCAGATGAAAACAGATCCAGGACCCGGTCGGACCCGGTTCTTCGAGAACAGGCCCGTTTTTATTATTTTTACCTTTAAAGTTATCCCCTAAATTCAGAGCTGGGCAGGCGACTCAAACATTGGACTGGAGTAAAAGTAGCACTACTTGAACATATTTTTAATCAAGTAAAAGTAAAAAGTATTCCTCCAAGAAATTACTCAGGAGTAAATAAGTATTTGGTAATAAATTCACTGAGTAACTGATCAAATTATCAATAATTTAATATTTAAAAATTGCACAATTGGAGCAAAATATAAAGAGCTATTTTGATATTTTAGAATGAGAATTAAAATAATTTATATAAATAAACAAAATCAGGTGAAATTAGTTTTTCAAAATTATTTTATTAATGAAATGAACAAAAGCTGCAGGAGTGTGACTGAGTCATGGATTCTCGGTTGAAACATTTTCATTCAGTGAAGTTGAAGAATCCAGAAGTTTTACTGTAGCAAGAGCAGAAAAATATTCCTAAAAGTCTTTTTTTTTTTTTTTTAAAGGTACTTCAGAAAACGAGTAAATCTAATTGTCCCGTTTAAGTTTTAGTCAGGAAATGAAGAGGTAAAAACAATATTTATTGGAAATCATAATCTACACCGTTTCTGTAAGCGACCACATCCTGCATCACTTCCTGTTTTTCATTTAAAGGTACTGCTCTGAATGTCGATATGGGCAAATTCAACCTTGCAGTTATTTCCTCACTCAAACAAGCATCTGGATTATTTGAATGCAATGTTGTTTTGTTTTCGGCATTCAGGAAATTGACCAAGTTACTCCAATAAAACAATTATTATTGCATTTTCCCGCACCGGTTACGACAGCGGAGTTAAACTCATCTTCATTTTCTGGTCCTTAAAGGCCCGGTTGAATGTATTGATTAAAAACTAATTAAATTGTTAAAATCTCAATTTATTTTTGATCCAGAAATGTTAAACTTAGACTACAGTGGATGTCTCCTGTTGGGCTTGGAGCAGAAGTGGGACAAAGTTATTAAAGTGATGACATTCTGGAAAATGCTCAGACTGCTGTGAAGAGGTGAGATAAATCCTGCTCTCTCTTTTCTCCCTCCCTGGCCTTTAATCGCTGCGAGTTCTTCCTCTTGGAGCCATTTAATCGCCCGACTGATGGACTCGCCTCAAATTAGGGCCGTTAAAATGATTGCTGCTTGTCTCTAAAATACAGTCTAAGAGCAGGGCGAAGCACAAACAACATAATTACCTGGTTTATTTATAATCAGTGTCTGTCAACGACCAGCACAGAGCACCAGAATAAAAATATATTTATTTTCAGTATTTCATAGAACTTAACATGAAACTTCCCTGCAGCAACACAACATCTTAATAAATAAATAAAATTAAAATATTTCCATTTTGAGTTATTCACAGATTATAAAATTTATAAAATGCAGACAGCTGTCTTTTTGATATTTTAAGAGTTTATTAATGTATTAATATCAATACATTCTGGCACATCTGGCTCATCAAGAACATTCATGATCTTAATTTGACACCTCTGGTTTAGAGTAAAGCAAAAAATGAAACTAAGTGCATTTCTGCCTTTTACCACCACGTTCCCCCCGGATTTAAACTTGACATCTGAAGCGACCGAAACAAGAAGCGACTGGAGCGTTAGCTGTTAGTTTTCCCGAGAATTTCTCTCCTCCACGCCTGAAGCCGTCTCCCTTCCTGGAGAACTGAACTGTATCAGATTAAAGCAGCATCTGCTTGGGCCCGAAGGAGAGACTTTTCCAGCAGAAAGAGAGCTCTTTATGTCACGTCTGAATGAAAAGTGTGTGCCAGTTCTAATGAATGCAGTAGAAGACATTGTCGCAAAAATCCCACATGCAGTTGAGCAACGAGTATTTATCGCATTTGCACAAATAAATGTTAAAACCCTGCAAACCCTGCAAATAAAAAGTAAGAGTCGCACCACTTTAACTTATTTTTACTCTAGTATAAAGAAATTACTCAAGATGGTAAAAAGTCTACTCTTTTTACTATGGTAAAAAGATGATAATTGAAAATTATCATCAAAAATGATAATTTCTGATAATTTTTTAAATCAAAAATTATCATCAAATTTGATAATTTTTGATGAAATTATTTCATCAAATAATTTCATTTGATGAAATTCAATTCTTAAATTGAATTTAAGAATATTTAAGAAATTTAATTCTTAAATATTACGGTATTTAATATTTAAGAATTAAATCATAAGATGAACCAAAATGTATAATTAAGTGGAAATTTTGGCATTTAAAAGCTCAAAATTAAAATAGTTCAAAAAGCCATAAGACAAAAAAAAATTCCAAATGAATTTATTTCTACAAACTTATGAAACTAATAAAACCTGAATTTGTTTGTTGAAACAAGCTTGTTTTTCATTCAGTGAACTTCCTCACACACTGCAAAAACAAAATCTTACCAGGCACTTTTGGTCCAGACTCTAGTGCAAATATTTTAGTAAACTTGAAATAAGACTAACTTACAAGTATCTGTTCAGCAGCTTGTTTTAAGTAAACGATTCCTTAATATTGATGAAAAAGTGCTAGTTCCATCGGTCGATTATTTTACTTATAACAAGACATTTTTCCAAGTCGTAAGTGAATTTATCTGCTAATGCAACTAGTAATTTTCATCAATATTAAAGATTTCCTGAAAACAAACCTCTTGCTGAAAAGTTACTTGTATGTTAGTTTGTCTAATTTCAAGTTGACCGAGATGTTTGCGCTAGACCAAAAGTACCTGGCAAGATTTTGTGTTTTTGCAGTGCAGTGGGACAAAGAATCCAGATATTTCACTCCACAAAAATAACGAGGCATCATAATAAAGTTATTTAAGTAAAAGTAAAAAGTACAACACAGTGCGTTTCTTGTGAGTTCGGACATTTTGAAACTTACTGAGCAGCGCTGCTCCATAAAGGCGAACAGAGATGCTAGTTGTGGAAAGCTCCTCCTCGAAAACAAGCTCGTAGAGTTGGTTGGGAAACACCAGAGCCTGTATGGGGGGGAAGAAAGGCTCAACACAGTCCCGTCATATCAACACAGTAGCATTCTGTGCTTCCCAAAGTCTTTTGGGTTGTGAGTCAGTGTCACCGCTCATGCCCAGAACACCGAGGATATTGAGAATTTGACAGCGAGGCTGACAAAGAGGGAGTTGTGTGTGCCGATAACGCTCAGTAATGCACTGATGATGAATCTGAGGATAGCTCTGTGTGTCTGACGTTTTGCAAAATGCATCTTCCTTTTTTTATTATCTGCACATTTTTTATAGATGACTTTTGAAATGCTTCTGCATTAAAGTGATCCAAGATTAGTTCAACATATTAGCCTAAATATGTTGTAATTTTTAGGCCAAAAAAAGTAAAAAAAATAAATACTGTTTTGGATACGCCAAAAATCCTAATTACTTAAATTTTTTTGATAACTTTTGTTATATTTTCCACCCATGGAGGTGGCCATGTTTTCATCTGCTGGGCTGATGACGTCATTAGGCCCATTCTGTACTGGAGTCTACAGAGTGAACACAGGAAGGCTAAATTTACCTGAGAAGTTGTTTGTCATATTGTGGTTAACTGGTATAATTTTAGATAATGCCACACCGTGTCTGGACCGAATCTGAATCATTTGCCACAAGAAAAAAAAAAGAAGAGCACAGTGGGAGAGAGCTGGAGCCAAATAATCTGTGCTCTCAACATTTCTCTCCAGAAGACTTTCTGTCATTTGTACGAGCAAAACTGACAACGGATCGTTACCTTAACAAGCTAAAAATAAATGCAGTGCTAACAGTTCTTATCCACAAAGCGCCAAAACCCTTAAAGAGCGTTGGAAGCTCCTGGTAATGGAGTGTTTTTCATTGTTTAATTTATGAAGCTGAAGGGTAGCAGCATTACCCCAACTCTGTCCTCTTCCTCTGTTTGGTCCTCGTCATCTTCATCACCTCTTGCGATTTCTACGTTCCAATTGATTCCAATACGATCCAGTTCAGTTTGAAAAGGCTTAATAACGTTAATCACTGCTTTGGCTGGAGGGAGCTAGCGCAGTTGGACCATTAGACGTCATTTACCCAGAATGCATTGCAGCGTGAACAACATGGCGACGTTCATGTGACAATATTTTACTAAAATTTATAAAAAAGTAATGTTTCTGTTGGTACAGCTAACCGTGGATCCGTTTAAACACTTACTGTTACGGCCATTAGTGTGAAACCCACAGCAGAGATGAGAATCCAAACCCTAAGAGACAAAAAAAAAAAAAACATGCCATGATGAATCCGTCTTAAAACAAACGGAAACAAAAGCTAAACTCAGAAAGCACTCCAAGTCTTACCTCAACCCAATCGGCTCTCGCACTGCAAACTTCAACTCGTTTCCGAGCATCTGACTGATCTGTGAGCAAACGGGGCAGCAGAGGAAGAAAAAAAGGAAATGAGTTATGAGAGGGGAAATGTTATCACAATCCTGCCATCTCGCCAGATATTTAGCGTCCGATAACCCTGGACAAGCAGGGAGGGAAACCGCCCTGTAGCTGTACTTAAAGCTGAGCAGCTCTGAAAAAGAAGCACTTTAAATCAACCTTGAGGAGAGAAAGAACAGATTATTATGCTAACTGGAGACTCAGAAAGTCCTCACCTCCTTAATAACCTGTTTGTCATAACATCTCAATGCATTCTTAACGAATGATCAAGGGCTGTTGCTATGCCAAAAGAAAAAAATGTAAAACTTTGAAGCTGGAAAAAAAAAAATACTTCCAGAGGAAGTCTGTTGTGGATGAAGAGAAACCAAAACGCTGCAGCACGAAATGTATTTTATACCATAAACTGGAAAGTAGAAGTATTTTAAAAGTAAAAATCATTGTCATTTATCCCCCTCTTACTCCAACACCCTTTAATTAAATCCAGTGCAATGACCTTATCACTAAAAAACAACTATCATTGAACTGTGTCAGAAAATAACTAAAGCAATGGATATTCGATTATCAAAATAGTTTAATTTTTGAACTAAATATGTTTTTATATTTGATCATGTTTACTGTAAATTATACTAGTTTTATCTCTACTTTGAAATCTGTCATAAATAATAGATCATGCATGTTAATTCAATCCAATCTGTTGAACAGTCAAAGGTTTATGATGAATGTGGAGGTGGAATTATAAGTTTTTCTGATTTTCATTTGTAAAAACCATGACTGCGTTTTCCTTCCACTAAACATTTTATCCTGGACACTCTGCAAGTCAGACAGCATCCCGGTGAACTACATTAATGTTTGAGCATGCAATGTAACAAAGTCTGAAGACAGAAAAACACACAATTCCTAAAACTGTAATTCCTGGATGCTAGCCACTTCAGAGACCCTGAATGGGAAACCAAAGATTTAACAAACATTTTGTTCCATAATGCCTCTCCAACAGCGAGTTGCCACTCCAAGCATTTCCTTTCATATCTTTTAGACGACGCCAGAATATGAAATTTCCTGACAGTTCAGATTCAAACTGTGTTTCCTCAAATACAAGGAGGAGTGGAGTAACCACTGCCAGGAGATTAACACAAATAATCTGTTTAAAAATTAATTTGTTCTGTAATATTTGCAAAAGAGAAATCAGAATGATGTCTGATCAACCCATTGAGGACTCAAAACAAAAACCAAAACATGTCCACTGGATAATTCAGGATCTGAACAACATGTCTGTTAAGCTTCCCTCTGTTAAATACTTAAGACTTTTCTGTGTGCAGAGCCGTATGTTCGGCATAGAAAGGTTATTTTATCTGCAAAGAGCACAAGTTCTGTCCTCAAGTAACTGGAAATTATGTTCACAGAAATGCACCGACAAATTTAGATTTTCCTTTTCAGACTGAGATACAGAAGGGCAAGGGGTAAATAAACTTCCCCCGAAAGAAAAAGGAAAAGTCAGAATTAAAAATAAAACCCAAACAACTCTTCTTAAATCCGACCACCCGTTTATTTTTTTACTTTTTTATCATCTCTAGAGGAAAAAAAACATATTAGATCTGAGCTTCCAACATCAACCTTCATCCTGAAATGTCTTGTCTCTGAAGAGGAGCGGCGTTGGAGTCAGACAGCAAAACCGAAACTAAAAATACATAAAGACGCAACGCGGGAGGAATCATGAATCATTTCTAGCTCGCCGTGTTCACTGGGAGCTCAGCATCAATTGGAAAGTAATTTTCTGTTCGACAAAACATCAGAATGAATGAAAGAAAAGCTCAGACTCTCAGGCGTAAGGAGGAACGTTTTACAATTTGACATAACACTTTATTGTCTGTACCAACCGGAGCAGCCATCTGTCCACTGACAAATGAAAGGTGCACAGAAAATAAATTGCATAAAAAAGCTAAAAATGACACTTTAATTCATATTTATAGACAAACAATTTAAATAGATTTATATAAAAGAAAATAGACTAATTTTTTTTAGATGATTAGTTAAAATAAGACAAACTTAAAAGCAACTTTTCTGGACGATAAAGGAGTTTATGTTAAGTAAATAACTCCTTAATATTAATCAAAAAGTCTTGTTCCACTGGCAGAGAAATTAATCTATAAACATGGGAAAAATGTTTTGTTGTAAGTGAAATAATCTGCCAGTTGAATTAGAAATTTTTCACCAGCATAATCATTTAAACAAGCTCATATTTGCTGCTTAAAGTTACTTTTATACTTTTGATATTTGCACTAGAAACTACAAACAATCCTCGGTAAGACTTTGTGTTTCTGCAGTGCATTGAAGAAACGTTACAATTTAAATCTAAATTTGGATCAACGTCAAATCTGAGCCTGTCATGATAACAGAAGTTATGGCGATAAACGATGATATTGCTGTTTTGAGACCATCTTCAATAATAATGTCATGACAATAATGCAAAAAACATCCTTAAAAATAAATAAACTTTAAATTCTAATTAACATTTAACACTGGAAGTGGGAAACATTTTCAGTTTTTCTGGTAGAAAGAGAGAAAATAGAAAACGATGAATCATGCGATGGTAATTATTGATCTCGGTTTCATTCATCTTGCTATTAATCGATTTCTTGCGACCGGCTTGATAGAGACGATGCAGTTATTTCTTTAAAGATACAAGAAGCTGTTTTTCAAGAATTTGCAAATAAGCAAGAAAACCATAAAAAATAAAATTATTTCCTTTGGTTTATTTCTAAACGTTCGCCAGTGGCTGCTGCCATATTTGAACGGGAGCTTTAAAAATAAAAAAAAAAGCCCCTTGGAGCCGAAACCTAAAAATTACGGAGATGAAAAGTTTGAGTCAGAAACCATCACATCCTTCCTGGCTGTGCAGCTGAGGCGCCTGTTTGTGCACCAGCTGCGAACACATGGCCAGGTGAATCAGCCTTCCTGTGCCGCGCTCCAGAGGCTGTTTCTGACAGGAACACATAAATATTCATGGCAAACACTCAAAGGGGACAGAGAGTTAACTGACGGCTCTGTGTTGGCTGGGGGTGTGAGAGAAAAACAGGAAATAGACGCAAACAGGCCTAATTACGGCCCGTGTTCACATCAGTCTGTTAGATCCAGACAAGAACTGGCTGGTTTCAGAAAGTCGGAGGATAAAAATGATTAACAAATGAACTGGAATTCAATCAGATGGACGACACAAAGCAGGTGTGATGCAGAGCTGAGAAGAAACTAGTAAATGAATTAGTTATTTTACCAAATAGCTTTATATTTTGGTCTGAATATGCAATACCTAAATATTAAATGACTGATAATTTGATCATTTTCTCTTTTACCAATTAAAAGCAGGTTTTTACCAAGTCAACACGGTGAATGTCTTCCAAGTCTGAGCTTAAACTGTGTCACAAAAAATAATTGTGGAAAATTTTAATGTCTAGATGTGTAGAGCAGATTTGTCATGATAAAGTTTTGCTGGACAATAAATTGTCCCAGAAGTTATCGAGATAAACAACAATGTTATTTGGAGACAATTTTCAAGTAATATAATAGTAATGGCATGAAAATGCAAGAATACGTTGTCAAAGATCAATAAACCTTCAGTTCCAACAAACATTCATCACTGAAGACGTTTTAAAAACCCAAAATAAACAAAACAGAAACAACAAATAAAATTAATACTGAAGCCAAAGCTCCAGACTGAAAACTTTTACCATCCAGTGTTTGGCAGAAAGAGAGAAAAAAAAGGATAAATCGTGCAAATTATTGAGCACAATTTAATTCGTCATGCAGTTAATTGATTTATTGCGACAGGCCTAGTGCAGAGATGATGGAAACGTTTTCAAAATATCTTAAAACCACAAAGTGGTTTGTGTTTGCACTGAACATAAAGTACCAATCAAGAGGCTTGGAGCCACAGTGAGTCCCTGCCGGTGTTTTCACATTAAGCAGATCGACAGCAGACACTGTGCGCCAGTCAAACAGCCAAGGTTGAAGAGCACACACAAAACATTTATGGTGTGGAGTGTGATGAGGGCTTGACTCCAGGTCTGTTTGTTGCTACAGCACCGTAGCGCTAAAGCAGTTCATTATTAGGGTCAATGGAGCCGTTGGTAGCAATAAACAGCAGCCTGGCGATTCAACACGACCGATGCTCCTGAGCCGTCTTTGTTAAAGCATCTGCTGCTTCTCTGATCAGTGAAGAAGTCAGGAAGAGACGGTCAGCAGGCCGCACTTCCCTCCTTTGTTTATGGGTCCCGTAAGGTCAAGTCCAACCGTTTCCTTCAGTCTGTGACTTGAGTTTAGTTTACTTTTAGATTCGCTCCCAGGAGCCTCTTCTCCACATAAGACCAACGACAAAACAATTCACTCCACACAGTCTGACCAACTACTTTTGGTCCAGTTTCTAGTGCAAATATTGTAGGACACTTGAAATAAGACATTTAAATTAGAGGAAACTTTCAGCAAGATGAAGCAGCTTGTTTTAAGTAAATAATTCTTCAGTACTGCCAGATCATTTCACTGATAACGTGAGAAAAATGTTTTGGTATAACTTTTTAATCAATATCTGTATCGGTACTGATATCGATAAACAATTCTAGAGCAGGTATTGGTACCCATGGGGGCAGATCTATTCAGTCTGAGCTACTCTAAGCTTTATTTACTTTACATTATATTTAATAATAACATTTTCTGAACAAATGGTTTGTTGCAGCATAAAGTCTGTTCAGTTTCTTATTTATTTTACGTCGTCTGTCCAACTGAACTGACTAAATAAATTAAAGTTGAAGCTGCTGGTGCATCTCAGTTTGCTTCACTGCTGCACTGAATTTGTAAGTCAGTAGATTTTTGTCTGCGTGTGAAAATAAAAGAAACACTTTAAATCAATTTTGCTGTTTTTCTGTTTCGGCTGATTCCAACTTCAGATATCTGAAGTTGAAAAACAGATCGGTTCATTCCAAGTGCCAACCGCATAAAAACACAGATTTACTGGTAATTCCTGCTGCTTCCGTTTTACCCAATCAGTGCTGAAGAGTCTGCGTCTCGTCAAACAATAGTCTGTGTCAGAAACGGAGAGATGCAGAGATTTTATTTAAATGCGCTGAAAGAGATTTGTGTGACAGATGTCTGGGTTAGGCTCCGCGCTAAAACATTGAGAGAGAAAACAAACAGGAAGGCTGAGAAAAGGGGGCCGACATCTCATCACTAGCAATCAGCTGCCACCGTATGCCTCCTCCCTTCTGCTCTGTTCCCTGATTAATATTTCAGAGCAGAGCTGTCTGCTGTGGCCACGCACAGCGATGAAATCTTGCATAAAAAAATTAAAAAAAGATAAAAACTGTGATTTTTGAGTCCTTTGGAAGTAGAGAAATGATCCACAACCTGCAGCTACGGCATGAAATCGAGTATTCCTCCACAAACCAGCATGGGAGCCGTCATGTTTAGGTTTGCATTGTCCGTGAGTACGGACATAAACACAAGAGGAAGTAATCCAATACATGACATGAAACGGCCTCCCGGGGGAGCCGGCCGTATCTCAGCAGAGCTGCACGAGCCCAGAGCATTACGTGATCCAGATTCCCTGAAGCATGAGAGGCGAATGCCCACGACAGAGACGAGCCAATTAACAGCCCACTGCGGCTTGTAAAAGGACTCCAGAACTCCTCTGTGGGTTAATATCTGCATCTGGCATTTTTCTTTATGCACTGCTGGACTAATGGCAGTTTAACTGAACGGCTTCATTTATAGCGGGGCTGCTTGTAGAGGCTGAGACGATTCACCGGGTTAATGAATCAGTCACTGAATCAGCCAATTCAGTATTTCAAAAAACTCGACTCACAAAAGGTAATTTGCTGAAGAAACAATAAACTCAAAGCAGCAATTAAGCCAAAACTGGAAAACGTTAAGAGACCAGTTAAAATAATCAGTTATCAGATTTTACTTTTTATGTGTTTGAGTAAAATTAACCTTGTTCTTTTATTCTATCAACTACTTACAACTAGTAGTCATTTTTATTTGGAGAAAATGAGAAATGGTCAAAATAATAAAAAGATGCAGCGCTTTCAGACCTCAAGTAAAGAAAACAAGTTCATATTCATTTAGTAACAACAAAACCAATGTAAGCAGGTTTTATTGGGGTTCAGAACATTCTGCATTTAAGATTAAAAAAAGAAAAACCTCTCAAGTGGTTTTAGCTTCACCCACTGGTTTTAGGTAACATTTGTAATCTAATTCTTTAAGAATCATGTGTTTTCCAGTCTCAGTGTAATTTTAGAAAGCAATGAAGCAACTATGTTACCTTGAGTTGTTATAAAATTGAGATTAAATGAATGCCTTCAACTTGGGCCTCTGTCTCTTTAAGAAACTCCAGCTCTTTTTTAAACTCCGCCTTCAGAAAGCCATCGCAATATGGCTCCTCTATTGACCCTTTAAAAAATTTTTAACCAGCATTTCAGAGATCACTCCTATCATGAGATCAGCAGATTCTCAGTTCCACCAGGTGTTTGCTAATTGCTGATGGCTAGTCTGAAGGAGCTGAGTGGGGGAGGAGCTTCTAGCTCTAAGGCGGGGCTCGGTCTCACCAGGCGTTTTGCAGAATTATTTTTTAATTATTAGAATAATCGCTAGTTGCAGCCGTTTCTCGTTCTAATGAGTTTGCTTTCGGTGTGAACATCCCGACCTTGGAGCGGTGCACTTCCCCATCATCGTCCTCGCCACCAACTCCAAGGATCTTCCGGCTCTTTAGACGGCTGATCAGGTCCGTCTGACTGTGCTTCTTCATGAGGGGAGGATGACTTTTGGATGACATGGTGCACACCTGGAACAGAACGGAAAACTGCTGTGAATGGTTGGAAAAAAAGGGAACTCGGTATCTACCGATCTAGAAGAAATACCTCCAGGACTTTAGTTATGCAAGAATTATGTAACAGGACTCTTCCAAACATAGGCAACAGCCAAAGAAGTAGAGACATTCATTAAGACATTTCTGCCTGTAAATGTCTTAATGAAGACCATCAGATGTGTTAATGTGAGATTTATTGTTTACTTCTGGTAAATTTTATTATTATAGTTCAAAGCGAGTGAAAACGAAAAACATCCCTAATGCAGAAATGTTCAATTATGCCCAGGTTAATGACCAGCACAGAGACGGACATCAGAGGCACTGCTGATGGCTGTGCATTAATCTCTCTGTTCAAGTGTGTTAATGAAAAGTTAAGTGGAAGGAAAAAGTGTGCAAAAAAGGTGAATAAGCAACACAGATAACCTGAGATGTTTAGGAAGCCCAGGTGTTTTTATGCAATATGAAGTAAAGTCCATTTAATAACAATAACTGCAATTACATTGAACAAATAATTGTGCAAATCGGTATTTCGTAAATACCAGAACGTCAGGACAAAAACAACTGGACTCTTTTTATGGGCCACTGCAAAAATGATACCCACTTTAATCTCAGAATTCTTACTTTTTCTTAGATCAAAAGTCACAATTTTGAGCAAAAAAAGTCAATTCTGAGGTTAAAGTGAGAATTTGCAGAAAAAGAATCCACACAGGAAATTTTATATAAAGCTGATGTTGCATTATATAAAATTTTGCTCCTTTCTGCTAACAGAATTTATGGAGATGCCAATTTCATTTTCCAGATACTCGGCACCGGCCCACACCGCCAAAAGTACCAAAACATGGATTAATCACTTCAGTACCACTGAGACTGATCAGCGCCGCTCCACTGATGTCAAGCTAACAGAGACCTGATCCACAATTACTATGTTTATAACATATGATACACAAACAACATCTCTGTATTTGTCGTCCTAAATAAGGAAAAACTACATCACTATGTAATGAATGCAAATTTCACTTTCTAAGCTGAATTAACTCAATAAATATAGTGCAGTGAACCTCTGTGAGCAATTGCTTAATTTCTGATTCACTGTGAAGATCTGCAAACATTTAATATATCATATATATTTGTCTTTATCCGAGCGATTCTTTCATCATTCGCTCTTTTTTCTCGCCTTATGCCAACACGTTTCTGTGACTAAACAGTTTCAAGCTCAGCTAAGAAGCGTCACTTCATTACAAAGAACATCGTTTATCTCTGATGCAAAATTAGCATTTCAGTTGCTTCAACTGTTTACTTAGCTGCATTCAGAGTTTATTTAGAAAATAATGATCCAGAGAATTCCTCGGGTGTTTGCCCTGTTGTCACCACAATGGCATGAACACTGGCTTTTGGATTTAAACAGGTACAAGCAATAGTTCCACCAGGAGAGATCAATGTTGACTCAATAAGCTGCCCCATAATTAAAGGGGAGGTTAAAAGGCATGTGCCAACATGAGTGCACTCATGCACACAAAGGGGCAGCCAAAAATTGATGCGGCCGCCACAGGGTGGTGGCCTTCAGAGGAAAAACAAGGACAGTTATTGAACTTTACTTCCAGCGATAAGGAAAAGTGGAGCTGGAACTTGTTTCCCTCATGAAAGAGTGAAACAACTGTTAGCTTTAGGATTAAAACAGCTTTTAATACAAATACAAAACTGGCTTTTGCTGCATATATAGGAAAACCCTTTTGCTTTTAACCTTCATGCTGTGGGAGATAAAAGCTCTTCACCATTTCTCCAGTGAAAAAGGTAAACAATGATAATGGACACAAAGACTCAAAGCCTTTGTTCTCCATCTGAGCTGGCTGTGAACGTGTTTTAAAAGGCACTGCAGAAATGCACACATGATGGCATAATTACGGTGCTTATTAATGGGCCCAAGTCATGGCTGTGTGGGTTACATAACGTATATCTTCTCAAATGACCTTCCAAGACAAACTACCATCCCAAACAGAGCAGCTTATATTCCAGGAAGAGAATTCATAATTTATGATCAAATGTCTTAATCTGATTTCCAGAGAACAAATAATGATGAGCAAATTCCTTTTCCCTACTTCAAAAAGGAAAATTAATGTCGCTTTATCTCCATGATTGATTGTTGCTACTGGAAAACGTCAGCTAATAGCAGAGCTAATTGCTCCTTTAGCGTTTTGGATAACTTTGCTTCCCCTAAATTATTTCTCAAAAAGCAAATGATGCTTATTCTCCACCCACGATGCATCTGAAACGGTTTAAAATCTCCTGACGTCCTGAAAGATTTCTGACTGAATGATTAGGCAGCAGAGTTGATCAAACTCAACACGGTGTGTGAAAAGTCTGCTCCAAACAACCATTTCCTGAATTTCAACCACACAGGAAGGTGTGCAATCACACATCTGACCACGCTGAGGGAGACGCGTCGTGTTGTAACGCGTGTTGCATCATTGATGCATGCTGGGTATCGACATTCTCTTCCTTGCATTTGGGTGTTTATCATTAGCATCACTAATGTTTATGACTGAGCTAACTGTGGTTTTTATCTTTAGTTACTCCAATGTTGTTACTTAGTGTAATGGAAAAGCCATTTGCAGAAGCTACTTTTTCAATAAAGCCTTGTTGCAGTGGAAATGGTGAAGTTCATAACACTTTCAACAGCTGAATTGACCTCTGATTATTACATTCGCCATTGACCAAAACTGGACACTTTATTGCACATCACAGCATTAAAGAAATATTCAACAATATTGGCACAATTTGCAAACCAAAATTTTAGAAATGTATTTGTAAAAACATTAATAAAATTGCTTCATATTTCCTCCCCCTGTTTGCTTTTGCACATATTGTATTTATTACATTCCTGAAACTGATGATTCAGTGGGAATGAATGGCCAAACATCTGCTGAACAAACAGTTTGCTGATTCTGTAACTAAAACCTCTTTTGATGTAAAATCCCCAGCTGTGCCCAGTTGACAGGTTAAAAAGGGAAATTAAATCATCACCATATCAAAGACACCATCTGAGTGTTTTAGGTTCCGTTTCATTCCCAGAAATAATTCAAAATTCCAGCAAAGACTTTTCTGAAATTCCAGTTCAAGCTGCACAGAGAAGCAGTTGACAGATCCCACTCGAAGCAGGAGGACTCGGCGCTCCTTGCGGCGTCACCATCAGCAAGATAATGCTGATGCAGTTGCCTGGCAACCACCAAAGGACCAATCCCCTCTTGTGAACTGAAAGCCCTTTCATGATGAGGCGGAGCCGGTGCTGACCCTGGGGCACTTTAGCTGACCCCGGGGCACTTTAGCTGACCCCGGGGCACTTTAGCTGACCCCGGGGCACTTTAGCCGACCCTCTGAGTTTGATAGCAAGAAAGAAAGAAAGAGAAAAAAAACATCTTTGATTTGTGTTTATTCAAAATGATACTTCAAGTGTGAAATTAATACTATGGAAGAAACTGAACCTAAAAATTTAAAGTTATAAATATGATCTGGGAAGAAAAAAAAGTAAATGTCAGGAAGATGTTTTAATTAAAAAGAAAAAAGCGAGGGAAAGGTAAGTGGTTCGGTTACGCTAGCTTGACTATGAAAACCTTAACATGTAGATGTGATGTGGAAATCAGTGTGTTTTGGTTCAGTTGTTAAATAAATAAACACCAACTCTGATAGATTATCAGTGGAGCAGGTGTTTAAATCAGCGAATCAACAACAAATGCAGTGTTAGCTTAGCTAACACTGCAGCTACGGTCATTAATAAGCGCACAACAATAAGACATGAAACTGAAATGAACTGAATGTTCTGTTCTTTGTGTGGGAAATGATGGTGTTGAATCCTGATATGCAGAGTGCTGTTGTTGTCGGTTGTTATGGCAAAGAGTCTGTGTATAGCATAGCCGACAGAGAGCAGGAAAGAAGAAAAACAGAGGTTTTGAGTTTAACGTGTTTTCTGCGTTATTTTGTCATTTGCTTTGGCGATAAATGAATAACACCAACATCTTCAGGCTTCATTTAGTGAACGGAGTTGCTGTTCTGGACGCCATGTTAAAGAATCGTCTCTTCGCCCTCTGGGGTTGCGCGCCTGCACAAAATTTTCCAATGTAAACAATAACATGCAGGGGGCTCCTGGCCTCGCTAGTCTGTCAGTGGGAGGGAAGTGCAGGGAAGCAGACATGAGGAATGCAAGAGAACATTTTATGGCACAGGCGTCTATGAGCAGCAGGCAATAATACCACCTTGGTTCCATTTTCAACTTCTGAGTCTGCTGAGAAGAAAATCTGTTAAACACATGAGGAGGATATTGTGGGAAAGGTGCGAACTCCTTCAGAGATCTCTGGCTAGCAACTGAAAAGATGTTCTACATAAATCATTGTATCTCAGGAACAAAGCTGCATGTGGAGGAACAACTGTGAGCAAACGTGCTACCCAAAATAAGAAGGACTATTTGAGACCTTGTTACTCTCCTCCTTTTTTTCCCCCATAAACAACAGGAGAAGCAGCCGGTAAATACTCCCACTGCCATGTCTAGGGTATCAAACAGCACCTTATGGTACAAAAACAACCATGTGACTGCCCAATTTTAATCAGTGTTTATTTTTTCTTCTACAGTCACTGGCAGTCTCAATCACAGGACGCCATTAAGACGTCTGCAGACAATTTAAACTTTAACTCAACATGAAATTCCCACGAGAACAAAAAGCCCTGCATGTATGAGATTAAGTAGTGCTTCAATCATAAAATTATTGTGATTAATGTGTTTTTAATGAATTTGAGACATTTCTTTAATTTTAGATGCATGAATTTAAAACTTTTTCAGGATGTGAGGACACCCTGTAGTATTGCCAACCGCCATGAAAAAGAAGAAGAAGAAGAAGTGCTCAGTGTTTGCGGAAGTAAACATGGATGCTGACGGTGGAGCACAGCTGACGATTTTTAAGTTGTTCGACTGAAGCAGCACAGTAGCA